GACATTTAATGACAATTTTGACAAATTGTAGCATATTTATCTTAAATTTTCATAAAACTTTAATAGATAGTAGGAAATTGTAAACAGCAAAACTGATTAGCCAAAATACAAAAATTCGAAAAGACTGAAACCGTTTATCAACTCCTTGTAGGAGTTATTGTCCTTAAAATGACACAGTTCAGCGTTTTTTTTATCTTTTATCCTTGAAAAAAACTATAATAGATATAAAGAAATAGTTGTATACAGCAAAGATCTACAATTATGTGAATTCAAATGAAGACATTTATCGACAGGATTATAGAAATTATTGCCGATTAAATTACTATTTTTGCAAATTTTGTTATTTGTTTGAGCCCTGAAACTATAAAAGATAGACCAAAATTGAAAACAGCATAAATTACCCCCTATACAAGATATAAAAAAATACATAACGACTAAAATGATAATTGACCCTTATAGGAGTAATAGCCCCAAATAATGATTTTTAGCATTTTTGTATGGTGGCCGGTTAAGGCCATTTCGCGTTTTCGCCCTTTATATTGTATAGCGTGAAAACGCGAAGTCGAAAATGCGAAAACACAAAAATGTGAAGTCAAAAACAAGAAAATGCGAAGTCGAAAACGCCAAATGGTTTTACATCTTGATTTTGCATTTTTGACTTTGTCACTTACTGCCCCCTTCTGTCAATCATTTTGTATCTTTTATCTAATTGGATTATGATTCAAAATTTAAAGATAACCTGACTGGATTATACTATTGTCAAGAACTATTAATTTTTACGAGTACTTAGTACTTATGTATGTAATAATAACAATTAAAATATATTTATTTAAAGAGATTTACTCAGTAGGATTAAACCAATTTTCAGTAAGGCTCTCTAAATACAATATTATAATAATTATCTACATAAAATCATATTTGTTTTTCATAAATTTTTTTGTTATAAATTAGGCCGTTAGTTTTCTCAATTTAATTGTTTCATATTTTTCATTGTTGAAGGTTGTATATTTGCCTATAATTGCTTACATCCACTTCATTTGAACTTTGGTGGATAGTTGTCTCATTGGCAATCATACCACATCTTCTTATTTTTATATTATATTTTTAATAAAGTGTTGAATTTTAAGTTTAACAAGACTGTTTACTATAGCTATTTGATTTTTATTATATATGCATAAATATATATATATATATTCTTTATATTTGCATATTGGTAGATTGAATATGTTTTATTCATGTAGTTAACATTGTATGTTATAATAGAGCCTTATTGAAAATTGGTTTAATAATGCACACATGGCTAAGCTTAATTTTACTTTCGCTGATATTTCAGTATGAACTAACTAACCCCCCTTAGCCATGCGTGCATAGCTAACCCTCCTAAATTGGTTTAGTTTTCATCATACATTTCTTATCAATTTTCCATATTTCAAAATTATTCCAGATTCAAATAATTCCTTGTTTAAAAGACAAACAGAAACTGTTTAAAGCAAAATGATAAGCAATACACGATCTACTCAATGCAAAAATGAGTGAAACTATGTTTTCGACTACTTACAGGGGTTATTACCCTTAACAACAAGTAAAACCTTATGGTTTACAAGTTAATGAACTGTTAATTCATGATCTGATTGATTTATGCATTGTTGAAAAATATCAGTGTTGAAAGTATGTCATGAAATTCTTCAGGTCTGCCTCTACTCTAGCTTTTAATAAGCTTTTGCAAGAGAGATTTAAGCTCAGGGGAAATAATTCTTGAACAGTTAGATAACAAGTGTGGAATAATGTTTGGAAATATCTAATACTTGAATTATGCTGTCTATAAAAATGGAAAATGTCATGTAATGCTAAAAGTTCTAACATATCAAATGTTTATAAAGATTGTGAGAGGTTTAAGCATAAGCATAAATGATACTTTCCCTTCTATTGGTATTTAATTCTAAAATGATTATTGTTGTAACTGATATGTAGGAGTGGAAAACTACTTTGTCAACAAGAGGCGCTGCAAGCAAAGGTAACAAAATGTTACCCTCTGCCCCATGCATTCATCAAAATATACAAATTATTGACCTTGACATTGGAGGTACACATTTCAACCTTATTCTCAACACCCTCTTTTGGTGGGTGCACCAATATCAGACATTAGTAATATACTTTAAGGTTATTGAGTTCTGTCGTCTTTGTATACTTGAATGTAAAGTTAAATGCAATTTGTGACCTTGACCTTGCATAGACATTTCAACCTTATTTGCAACACACCTTCTGGTGATTGGCAACAGTATCATCAAGTATCATTAACATCCTTTATGGCATTCAAAAGTTCTGAGTCTGACACAACTTTGGAGATTTTAAGTCAATTAAGTTTGAGACCTTTACCTTGCCGACAAACATTCCAACCTAATCATGACTCACCGTCTTTTGGTGGGCAACAATCATACCAAGTGTTATCAATATCCTTCGAGGCATTTAAAAGTTCTGAGATGGACTAGACTTTGTATATTCTAATATGTTGATGCAAAGTTGAACTAAGTTTGTGACCATGATCTTGAAAACAAACATTCCAATCTTATATCCCTCAAGGCATTAAAGTTCTGAATTGGATGCAACTTGCTTACAGAGAAATACAGGAAAACTTAAAGTACCTACCCCTTTCAAATATCTTTTGTGAGGGTGGGGAAATAATTGAATTTAGTTAGTCCTTAGTTATTATTATATGCATTATGGTTTTATACACTCATTTTAATCATATTTTATACAATGAACTTCTAAAGCAGATTCATCATGTTCATGTCTGTTGAATTTCCACAATTACAACTTTTTTTTAATACCATTGTGATTAAAGCCAATCTGTCCCAATGGTATACATGTGGTATAAAATATTAAAGAAGCGCCAGGGTGAATAGGCCAAGTTGTGGTCTGAATGGTTGGGTAAATGTTGTATTCTGGAGGTAAGAGGAAACATTTTTTGAGTTGAGTATTGCTTTTTTTGTTTACTTGTTTTTACTTTTAAGAGGGGAGGGTGTATTGATGAAGAGTCTTCATTGAAGACTGTTAAGTCTGCTGGATATCTATATGAAATGATGCTTAACATTTGGGGTATGGGAATATGTTTTAACACATAAAATTTAATAGTAAGAGTTTTATATAAAGGGGGCTTCTCATCCCATGGGGAATTATCAAACCAAGTGGTAATAGTTACACACCTGGTTTACCGAAACCAAACTTTGCCACACATTTTGATGGATCAAATCTGCTGTAAGTTTGACTTTTATTCAAATTGCCCCAAAATCAAAAGGGGTCTTCATCATTATATATCAATATCCAAGTTTGTTACAAGTTGAATATATGGATGAAAGATAACATCTGGAAACCAACATTTTGCCCAATTGAAAAGGTGGGAGAAGGAAAATCTGTTGTGCCTAAAAATTTAAGTACAACACAATGGTGTAACTTTTGGTTAACAATCATGACAATAATTGATATGTAATTGATAAAAATTAAACCAAAGGGAATTTTAATTATTATGAGTAATCCCTATGATTTTACAGTTGAGAGATAACATGATTTTGTTTTCTACAAAAAATTACAAAAATTGTATATTTTGACACTTAATTGTGAGTCGGAAATATTAAGTTCCAAATAAATGTTTACATGGTGTTTTTTGTATATACAAACACCACTGTAAATTATCCATGTAAGCTTATTGATCCTTTGAATCAACTTAATCTCCAAGGTTATAAATTGAACATTGTAATTAGATCTTTGAATTTTGTTTTCATCAGTTCTAACAGTTGTTATTGGCTTGTTTTCCTCAATACTAACAATTGTTTATGGCTTGTTTTCATTGGTGCTAACAGTTGTTAATGGCTTGTTTTCATTGGTGCTAACAGTTGTTATTGGCTTGTTTTCATTGGTGCTAACAGTTGTTAGTGGCTTCTTTTCATATGTTCTTACAGTTGTTAATGGCTTGTTTTTATCGGTACCAACAGTTGTTAATGGCTTGTTTTCATTAGTACTAACAGTTGTTATTGGCTTGTTTTCATTTGTGCTAACAGTTGTTATTGGCTTGTTTTCATCGGTACCAACAGTTGTTATTGGCTTGTTTTCATTAGTACTAACAGTTGTTATTGGCTTGTTTTCATTTGTGCTAACAGTTGTTATTGGCTTGTTTTCATCGGTACCAACAGTTGTTAATGGCTTGTTTTCATCAGTACTAACAGTTGTTATTGGCTTGTTTTCATAGGTGCTAACAGTTGACAGTTGTTATTGGCTTTTAACTAGCTCAATTCTTTGTGTCTTAAGTATTTTTGTAAGTTGTTTGTTTTGTTTTGATCCAATAAGTCCCTTTTCAAATGATTTTTAAAGCTGTTATCCTTATGCTAGCAAGTTAAAGGTTTGGTTGGCTTGCTCAAGCATTGTAATTAAAGTAAGATTGACATCTGCAATCAATAGATAGGCGGGGCTTCAACTTGTATACATTGGTTAACTTCCAATACCATTTATAAGTATAATGTATACAAGCTGAAACCCCGCCTATCTATTGATAGCAGATGTCAATCTTAGTTACAATGCTTGAGCAAACATTTATACAAACAAAGGAAGCAAGTCAACCAAAACGTTTAACTTGCTAGCATTAGGATAACAGCTTTAAAGTTTGTTCTTATGTTGTGCAAACATTCTGTATGTGCCTGTCCAAAGTCAGAATCCTGTAATTCTGTTGTTGTCGTATGTTACTGTATAACATATTTGTTTTTAGTTTGTGTTCATTATTTGTAAGTCCAAAAGTGTTGAAAATTTACCAAAATATTGTATTGCGTTGCATAGTATTGCATTGAATAGCCTTGCATTGCATTGCATTGCGTTGCAGTGTTGTATTGTATTTCCATTGCATTTCATTGCATTGTATTATACAGAAATCTGGATGTAACTGCTGCAGGATTAATTGTAGGCACATACAGACTCCACTAAAGATTCTTGGCACAAAAAGAAGAAAATACAAACTATGTTCACATTTATTTGTGCTTCCACATTAATAATAATAGCATATGATTTATCTCACAAACTCATCTTTCATTCTTCATAAAAAGTATACATATTGGAATGATAACAAATAAATGACAGTAATATAACAGATATTTTGATTGAACCACACTATTAAACTGATAGTTTTTGCTTATAAATCATGCAATTCAAATCTATGCCAGGGATACAAGGTATTTGAGTGCTCATATAAAAAGTATTTTGTGGATTTCATGATGGAATAAAAATCATACATCTCTGAAAATGATTTTTTTTCTATTGATTGATTGTTGCTTGCTTGACATCCTGAATTTTTCTATATATGTATATTTTAATTATAAGTCTACAGTTGACACAAGATATGACCTTTCAAAAGTATTGGCAATTGGCACAAAACTTTGAAATTCACATTTTATGACTCAATATAGTCTCTTTCTTTCCATTCAAATACACACTGATGGAGATTTAACATTGACAAAATTTTTTAAATACAGAACTGGATGAAGTGTTTTGCACAGAATAACCAAAAAACTTTCCAGCTCAAAAATGGAATAGGATGGACAAACTACTCTAATTGAAGTTGCATGAAGCAATTATGTTGAGTGTCTTTCCAAACCCAGGGCTTACGGTTATAAAACTTTCGAGTACAATCATCAGACTCAGAATCAACCAATCAAAATACTGGATTTGCTGTTTCGAGCACACATTTTGTACTCTTGAGTACTGAGTAAAGTTTATAATCGTGAGTCGAGGTTAACTGTGATGATGTTCTTAAGTAATGGACTGATATAAAGATTTATGACTATTTTGTGTATTTTTCCTTTGATCTTTTTTTGTGATAATTTTTCATATCATGCTTCTAACTTGAGATAGAAAATTATAGGTAAAAACTAAGGGCACACTTTGCGTTGTCAATGTAAATATCAAGGACATCATAGGCAAAACAGCGATAAACAGATTATCAATGGTCTTTCAAACTCGAGGATGTTTCTCGACCACATCTCATATCAAGGCTGTCGCTCTTCAATGAGATTGTAACTGCGAAACACCCTCTCGTATGAAAAAAACATTGATAACCTATAAGTAAAAGACAATGACAATATGTCTCCATACAAATCCTGTGGAGGAGGCACAATTTATAAATACAATATGATTCCTCTAACTGCATAAAGACAATAGATTATTAAGCTGGAATGGTTCTATAACAATATGGAATGTAAATATAGATTACATAAATAATCATGAGAATACCTGGTGACAGTTATTCTGGAAGCAGACGTTGTGCACAGGTTTGATTGTTCATAGGTATATAAATGCATCAAGCAGGATTCAACATTTTTCCACAGGCGATTCTGAATGCATTAAAGCATTTGTCAAGCATTTTTTTAAGGAGCAATGTTATTACTTTTTTTTTATCATTATATCTTTAAAACAAAGGGTTTAAAAGGTTTTTTTATATGTAATAATGATTTCCATGTTAAACATAAGAGAGTATACAGTTGTTGATATGTGTTTTCTGTCACAGTTCATAATTGGTCAACTTAACCAATAAAAGGATATTTCTGACGATCAAATCAACTATTGATGCCTGCAAATCTTAAAATACAATACTGTTATCAGAATTTAATTCCACGGTCAGAATGAAAACATGGGCTTGTGCACAAATTGTAGAGCATCTATCCTAGAATTGATGCCTGCAGTTTGAGGCATTTTCAAATCAAAAGAAATGTTACAAGTAGTGTTGCATTAGAATTTCTGTAATTCTTGTGAAAAAGTGGGAAATGAAAATGGGAATTATGAGAAATGTAATATAGATTTTAATGTTTAATTCACCTCTAAAGGTTGATTTACTTAGAAGGTCATGCTCTATGCATACCCTTTTATTCAACACATAGGTAGTCACAACTTTTAAATAGAAAAAAAAGTAAGAGCATAAAAACCACCCTTGTAATAAAAGGAGAAAAAAATAATATTCTGTCCAAATTTGCTTGCTTCCAAGCAAGCAGTTTGAGATGAAAAGATAAATATAACATAAGCAAAAGCCTCTACTATGTCTACAGAAACTTTTAAGACATTCTTTTCCAAAAATGGAGCAAGCCAATTATTAAAAAATCCTTGATAGCAAGAATTGTTAGTTTCTATCACCTGGTTTATAAGAGAATAACCTATTTGAGTAAAAACAATATATGATCTGTGTCGGATAGAAATAGACCTTAATCAAATGAATATCAATACATCTGTTAACCTATTTTAGGTTAAAAAATCTCTATGGAAAGTCTGTAGCTGTTTGAAAAATTGAGTTGTTATAAGAACCCAAAAAAAAACAGACCAAAATTCATCTTTTATTTCGTATTTGTTTGTTCCAAAATCAATCAAAGTTTTATACATATACATGTATATGTGCACTTGTATATCGTTGATTTCTATCCAACGTAGCTCATATGATGATCCCTGTTTGTTGCTTGATGTTTAAAAAGCATGTGATACAAAAATGTTGCATGATTGGTTAATTCCAAGCCAAAAAATGTACAATATTTTCTATCCTTATCTTACTTATATCCATTACAGAATTGGAAAATTAGGTATTCTTTTACTTTGAAGGAATGTTCATTCATTAAATATACAGACCTGCCAACTTTCCTCACTGATAGGGGGTTTCGTGCATGAGAGATGTTGACCTGTCTTTTGAGAAAGTTGGCAGGTATGAGTATGAACTTGTAAGCACTATTATAAATGACCGTGTTTCTACATAACACAATTACATAAAATATACACAAAATCTCTCTCTACTCATTGCCAAACAATTGATTAAAATTATCATTTGATTATGGCTATTTTAGAAAAAACAAACACCTGGGAGGTTGGAACTTCATTCTTATTGTGTGAACAGAATTTTTAATGTTTTCTGTTATTCATCAAAATCAGTGACACTGGTGAAACACTGGTGATACACTCTCACCTAGGTTAACAAAATAAAAAAAAATAAGTGGAGTAATGACCCTCATAGGTATTTATTTCTGGAAAAGCCCTTACTAAGGTCCAGGTATTACAATAGAAATGTCCATTATTTCAAGGCACTTGTGACAGGTTTAATTGTAGGAAAATAGTAATCTATTGCACAAGCTGACCTGAATTAATCAATTAATAACTTTAAACTACTATTGTCACATTGGCAATATAATGTTAAATCAGTCAATTATAAAAATAAGTCTGATAAGAAGATATAAAATCATGTTAGTTCTGTACAAAATTACAAATCACAGTTTTGCCATCACAAATTATATATCAGATTCCGATTTCACTTCATTTGAGTCTGTCATTTGATCGTAATTAGGGTTACCCAATGACATTGTGGGGGATTTTGTGTCTTTGTTACCATTTTGTAGGGATGTTCTTGCTTTAGAGAAATGAGCTCGTAATTTTGTGAGTGTCACTCCAACTCCTCCCTCCGTATGAACTGTTCCTGGATTTGGGTCGTTCATATCGTTTTCAACCAAAACTTTTTTGTCTGGGGATGCAGTTCTCTGTCGCCAAAAGTATAAACCGACACCAACAATTAATGCCATCAATATGAGAATTATGGGTATTGTTGCTGCTAGCACTACACCTTGTCCGCCTGTTAACTCTGATATGAAGGACTCACTTTTTGTCTTGTTACCTAAAATGATAAAGAATTTTCTAGAGGCTCAAAAGAGCAGGTGTCGCTCACCTTGGTCTATGTGCATATACAACAAAGGACATTCCCTAACATTGTAGACGAGAATAGAATTCATGACAAAAATCACTGTTTTGTTGATCTTTTATTGCTGATCATTTAGTCTGTTTAGTTTCTCTCTATCTTCTTTAGTTTTTGCTCAAAACACATTGCACAAAACACAAAAGAGGGAAAACAAATTCTCATTTATGGGCAATGAGTGATAGTCTACTAACTATATCAGCAAAATTAGACTTGTTTGTAGATCTTGACTTGCTGATCTTTTTTGTGATTTAAAGTGTCTATTTATCTATTATAATTTTTATCATATAAGGAAAAACGCAAAAAAAAATGGTAAAAATTGTCATTAAAGGTCAGTAACTCCAATAAGGAGTCAGCTGACCATTTTTACCATATCAGATTTATTTGTAGAACTTGTCTTGCTGATCATTTGTACAATATAAAGTTTCTCTTTATCTATTATAGTTTTCAAGATAGTAGGCAAAAATTTTAAAAAATGGTAAAATTTTCATTTAAGGGCAATAACTCCTATAAGAAGTTGTCTGACAATTTTGACATATAAGGACAATTGGTAGAGCTCAACATTCAAAACATTTTTGCCCTTGCCAGATTTTCTCTATTTAAAACGATTTTCAAAATAATAGGCAAAACTTGCATTTTACCCCTATGTTCTATTTTTAGCCATGTCGGCCATCTTGGTTGGCAAGCGGGGTCATCAGACACAATTTTTAAACTAGATACCCTAATGATGATTGTGGCCAAGTTTGGTTAAATTTGGCCGAGTAGTTTCAGAGGAGAAGATTTTTGTAAATGTTAACAGAAGACGACGGACAACAAGTGATGAGAAAAGCTCACTTGGCCCTTTGGGCCAGGTCACCTAAAAATTAACAATTTGTAATTTCAAATAAAATTTGCTCTATTACCTCTGCTTTTTCCAACTGCTTATTAAATTTTTCATTGACTTGTACATGAGATTTTTCCCTTATGACTAGCACATCAATTATACTCCGAAAGAGATGGTATGGTTTTCTAAGATTTCATCTCATAACAGTACACTGTTGCATACAGCCCATATAGACATTACAACCTGTTGTTGATTAATTTAACAAGATAATCACAGATCTGCCATCAACACAAAAAAAAAACCTAAAAGGCAAAAATGTAAAACTACTGCAAAATTTTTGTTTTCCAATATCGAAAAATCTGTAGTTTTGTTGACTTAGTATAACATATATATTCAATGGAAGATTTTTTTTAAAGATGTCAGCAATCGACCGTAAACTCTTAGCCATTTTTTGTAAACTGTGTTATCATCAATGTATTGTGTGCAAAAAATGAAATGATAGACAATATCCCTAATAGGCATAAACTCTGACTACATTTTATGAAAAAATTGTAAATCCATAGATATTAGCGGTCTGAAACCACCTTTGAAAATCAAATTTTACATTAAGAAATGAAAAGTGTCTTGAGGTAACAGTACCGTACAGTTATACATACCACTACAAATCACTCCTGCATCTTCCATATGGTTACAGTTTTGTATATTAAATCCATTATGTGTACACTCTTCAATTCCTGCTTCTGTTCCCTTACAGTTCACATTGTCCAACCAAATTGGCCCTGATCCTAAACCAAACTGTCCAGATTTCTTAGCAATGCCACTTTTGAATCCTAGTTGGCGACACACAACAGTGGCATCACGGTTATCCCAGTAATCATCACATACAGTACCCCATTCATTGGGTCCACTTAACAATATTTCAACTCTACCATAGTGTGACCCAGTGGACAACCTGACACCTTTAATAGCTGAAAAAACAAAAATTATTGTTGCTTTTTACAACTTTCGTAATACTGTGGATTCATTCATTTTCCTTGATACAAATTTTAGGAATTAATTGGATTGAGGAAAATTTGCTATTGTCGTGTATATTTGATTTGTGGTTTTTTGCAGTCTGCATACAAGCCTATAGAATTGTAGTTCGACAAACAATTAAATTCATGGTTATCCTATACCCATGAAATGAAAAACTATAGGCTCTAAAGAGCCTGTGTCGCTCACCTTGGTCTATGTGCATATTAAACAAAGGACACAGATGGATTCATGACAAAATTGTGTTTTGGTGATGGTGATGTGTTTGTAGATCTTACTTTACTGAACATTCTTGCTGCTTACAATTATCTCTATCTATAATGAACTTGGCCCAGTAGTTACAGTGGAAAATATTTTGTAAAAGTTTACAAAAATTTACAAAATTTATGAAAATTGTAAAAAATTGACTATAAAGGGCAATAACTCCTTAAGGGGTCAATTGACTATTTTGGTCATGTTGACTTATTTGTAGATCTTACTTTGCTGTACATTATTGCTGTTTACAGTTTATCTCTATCTATAATAATATTCAAGATAATAACCAAAAGCTGCAAAATTTTCTTAAAATTACCAATTCAGGGGCAGCAACCCAACAACGTGTTGCCTGATTGGTCTGAAAATTTCAGGGCAGATAGATCTTGACCTAATGAACAATTTTATGCTCATCAGATTTCCTCTAAATGCTTTGGTTTCAGAGATATGAGCCAAAAACTGCATTTTACCCTATGTACTATTTTTTAGCCATGTCAGCCATCTTGGTTCGCGGGCGGGGTCATCGGACACATTTTTTATACTAGATACCCTAATGATGATTGTGGACAAGTTTGGTTAAATTTGTCTTAGTAGTTTCGGAGAAGAAGATTTTTGTAAAAGATTACAAAAATTTATGAAAAATGGTTAAAAATTGACTATAAAGGGCAATAACTCCTCAAGTTGACTTATTTGTAGATCTTACTTTGCTGAACATTATTGCTGTTTACAGTTTATCTCTATCTATAATAATATTCAAGATAATAACCAAAAACGGCAAAATTTCCATAAAATTACCAATTCAGGGGCAGCAACCCAACAACAGGTTGTCCGATTCATCTGAAAATTTCAGGGCAGATAGATCTTGACCTGATAAACAATTTTACCCCCATGTCAGATTTGCTCTAAATGCTTTGGTTTCAGAGATATAAGCCAAAATCTACATTTTACCCCTATGTTCTATCTTTAGCCATGGCGGCCATCTTGGTTGGTTGGCCGGGTCACCGGACATATTTTTTAAACTAGATACCCCAATGATGATTGTGGCCAAGTTTGGTCAAATTTGGCCCAGTAGTTTCAGAGGAGAAGATTTTTGTAAAAGTTAACGACGACTGACGACGGATGTCAAGTGATGAGAAAAGCTCACTTGGCCATTGGGCCAGGTGAGCTAAAAATGGTATCATATCATTTTGAAACTGACAGGAAGAAGTAGTGAAATTTCAAACGAAAGTGCTTATTTCCTTGTTGCCCTACAATGGTTTTTTTTTTAACAATCTAGAGCTGTTTTGCCATTTGTATCCTTCTTATATATACTGTGGATTCATTTATTTTCGTGGGTATCAATTTTCGTGGATAGAGAAAAAAGACGTTTCGTGGTATACGTAAATTTGTGGATCACTGATTACAAAAGAAAAATTCGATACGTAATTCGTGGATTTCTTTTTGATTTAGGAGATTATATAACCTCCTTTGTTTGATCAATAATAAAACAAACAAAAAAGAAGGAATTCATTGAAAAAGTTTTGAATTGTCAAAATCCTCGCTTGGTCATTCTAGGTTAAAGTGTTCATTGAAAACTTCTATTACAATAATGGACGGAGACAACTAAGTATTTGTTTGTTTTACAATTTATAAATTCTTGTCGGAATTTTGTAAGGCATTCAAAACTCTATGATTGAAAGCCCATTTCCCTAATCACGATATATAATAAACAGTCATATAAGTAAAAGGTGTGAAAATAAATGTTCCTGTCATTAACAGTATTACCTACGGGCAATATCCCCGTACTTAATCCTTGATTTTTAATCACCAGTAAACCAAACTATGACACAGTAATTAACAACTTGCAGTTATTTTCCATGAACACTTTTAATCAATTGTAAAAAATAAATTATCACTGATATTCGATATATTTATTATTAATTTAATCAAAATACTTGTATCTTCTTTCAATAAAAACATGTGTTATGTTACAATGTTTATCGCTAGTCAACACTATACTAGAACTGTAAACATAAGCGGAAATAAACATCCGACTCCATACACATTTCTCGGGATTATTCTTTGTTGAATTCTTAAATTCGTGGTTCACTGTGACCAACGAAACCCACGAAAATTGGTATACCACGAATAAAAATGAATCCACAGTATATTTATTTGTTAAGTTCAAATCTTTTTTTGCCCTACTAAAGAGGGGTAAAACATAAATTGGTCATCATTTTTACTATACTATGAAATATTCAGTAAATCTGCATCAAAAAGGCTTACCAATTTCATTACTAAAACATCTAGCAGCAGCATCGTTTGGTCTTTTCTTACACAATTTTTCATAAGTTGTCTCAAATCCCCGTGATCTATTGAAGCCAGAATGACTACACTTGAGTACATTGTCCTCGGATCCATCACATGACATACGAGAGAACCAGAAGACTCCAGGATTCAGTCCAAATTGAGCTCCAGCTATCTCTATTCCACCTTTGTACCCAAGACTTTTACAGAAAACTTGAGCATCACGAGAATCCCACAGGAAATTACAAACACCACCTGCCTGGCCATCATACATAATCTTCACTCGTCCTGTTGCATTATTTGGTCCACCAACCAGAGAATAATGGATACCTGATACATGTAAAAATAGAAAAATAATAAATTTGAAGTTCACTGTAAAAAGTCAGAAAAAAAATAACCAGTGTTACCAGTCAGCACAAAACTTCAACCATAATAAAACTAATTCTATCAAATCTTAAATTCACCACTTGGTGGCCTTTAATAATATCAGTCATTATAACCATTCCACTTTCAAGCACAATTACACATTTTTGTTTTGAGATTATTGAATTATATTAGTACACAGATAATATCTTATTTTGTAAGTCTTTCAATATTATTTTTTTTATTATAAGGTTACAACTAATTAAAAATTTTCTATGTTTTAAAACTTCTCAAATTAATGATTCGTTTAAAAACTGAAGGAAGACTTGTAAAACTACTGAAAACAGACTTATTATTACGAGCAAATTTTTTTCACGACTTTTGGGAGTCGAAAAATAAGGTAAATGTAATAGTTGTGAATATATTAAACTTGGATCTACTCTTAATTGAATATGAGAATAAAGTTAGGAAATTGAGAAAATAAATCAACTAAAAAGAGCTAAACACGAAAATAGTATCTGCAAAAGCTAGACTGGTTAACAGTGATCTAAAACATCATAGATTTAAAGTAACCATTCTTACCTGATGTTTTGTAACAAAGTACACCTGCCCTGGTTTCAGTGTACTCACAACTGTCCAGCTGTCCTGACCTTGTAAAAGAACATTTATCTAAGTCAGCCTCTGATCCCCGACACCTGACATTGCTCATCAGTATTGGTGGTTTGACCTGGCTAGTTTCTGGTACCCTATATGGTACACCACCAGTAAAGCCATTTTTCTTGCAGACTAGATTTGCCTCAGCATTACTCCATCCTTTACTACAGACGGATCCCCAGACTCCACTTATCTTGACCTGTACCGTTCCATGAGTGTCAGACTTATCGTCAGGAACAATCCTACTGTCAAATGCTGAAATTAACGTAAAATGGTAATTACAAGAAATAAAATAGACAAAAGTTTTATAGAAATTAAATATATTAAAACAATTTTATGGAATAGAGATTTTATTGAGTTTGTAATTGAGTTGGCTGAGTTTATACATCAATACCCTCTTTCAAACTATCCAGAATAACTATAAAAACAAATATGAATTTAAAAAAATCGTCTTAAATATGAATAAAAAGAGATAAGGGGTAAATGATATTACCGGTAAGACAATATCAAACAGTGCAAGATGTTAAAATAGATCAAAGACTAAAATGGCCAGGTTGTGCAGAATGTTTCTTCAACAAAGGAGAATGCTCTATTTTGAACATTTAAGTACTGTGGAATCATTATTATTCGTGTGATACCAATTTTCGTTGATTTTGTGGGTAGAGGTGAACCATGAATTTAAATGTTAAAAGAGGTACAAATCTTATATAGGCTTGTATTCAGACTTTTAAAAACCACGAAATCAAATATTCATGAAAAGTACAATTTTCCTCTACTCATGAAAATTGTTACCGACATATTTGAAATATGAAATGTAAAAATTCATCAAACAATCCCATAATAGCAGGTGCACAACTTCAACATATATGCAGTCTTTATGTGAAGATTTAGTGATCTAGATTGAAAACTGCAGGAGGAGTTGATTACACAAATTAGGTACCAAGTTTCCTATCAAACCCACCCGCCCATCATCATACTAAGTTAGCCAATTTTATACTTAGTCTAACCCAGTCAAAAATTAATATCTGATGATCATCATAGAGCCTTGAAGAACGTAAAGGCATCAAGATTTAATTGGACTGAGGGCTAATCAGCTTTGAAGGAGTTAACCAAATTGGGTGAAGAAGTAAAAAAAGAATCCATTTATACAAATGTTGTGTTTTCTTGTTCATGTGTATTTTACACAGGCTACGAGGTAATAGAGTGACAAATAAATTCCAAAATAGGCACAAGAAACTATTCGATTATTGTATAGTTACTCAATTTCATAAAAACAACCAAGATTATAATGACTTCAAAGGTCCGGAAAAATTTGTATCAAATTACAATAATAACAGAAGCCAATTTTACCTGAATAGATATAAATTTTGGATAAAAATATATAATTACCAGTAGCTACTATATCCTCATTACTGCAATAAACAGAGGCATACTTCTTACTACGACAAGCTGCTGAATTCCATGCATAGCGACATTTAAATAAATCACTTTCATCACCACCGCAATGGACGTCAATCAGTCCTATTGGTCCAGTCTTGTTTCCAAAGACAGATCCTTCCATTTCTGTTCCATGAGAAAATCCCATTGACCTACAGATAACCTCAGCTGCAAGTTTATTAAAGCCCACATCACAAACAGTCATCCATTGCTTGTTATTATAAACTTCTACTGCTCCCATGGTAGCATTCAAACCAAGGCTTAGTCTCACTGCAAAATAAAGGTACACATTGTAATGAAATTAATTTAAAACAGTGCAACTGTAATATTTCCTTTAAACTTGAAAATAATAGTGAAAAATATTAAGCAGATACACGAACCAATCATAAGGATTCATTTATTTTCGTGGGTACCAATTTTCGTGGATTGCGGAAAACTTGCCTTTTCGTGGATATTTGATTTTGTGGTTTTGCTAAAGTCTGCATACAACCTAATAGAAAATTTGTAATTCTTGAACATTTAAATTCGTGGTTCACCTGTACCCACGAAAACCACAAAAATTGGTATCCAACGAATAATAATGAATCCACAGTATTTGTGTATTAGTCATTTAGAAAAACACTATAGGATATTGTTTGTTGGTTCTCACTTGGGCTCTATTTCAGCAAATAATAAAAAACAATTGAAAATTTACTAAAATCTATGTATATTCATGGAAGCGTGCATAAGTAACTTTGTTCCTAAACACCCCGATTTTGTGTTATGTATTTTCCAAACATTTATATACATTTATCATGTATATATAGAAGTCTTAAATTAAAAGTAAAAAATCAGCAAAATAAGGTCCACAATGCACCCTGTCCTTTCCTTATTAAAACAACTTGAAATGATATACCTACCTTTATCAACACATGCCACTGAAGCATCATTCCTATGATTTGTACATTTCTTCCAGCTATTTTTAGTAATTGCATCATTGAATCCTCTATGTGAACAGGAGTGAATGTACTTTTCAGTACCATTGCAATTCAGATATCCTATCCAAACTGGTCCTGTTCCTTGTCCATAATGAGCATCCTTGATAGCATAGCCATCACTAAAGTTAAGGGATCGACACAGAACACTGGCTTCACGGTCATCCCAGTTTGTATCACATACTGTGCCCCACTGTCCATTTAACTGCAGCTCTACTCTTCCTGTTTTGTTACGACCAAAACTGTCCTTTTCTCCTCCTACAATTCTATAGTTAACACCTGCAGAAGACACAATATTATGTTAAGTAATTAAACTTCAGACTTATTAGCATGACTTTTTTACTTTTACAACTTCAAGGATCAAGTATACATCAAGCATTCTCTTCTTTTATGGAAATCATGATAAGTACTCTCTTAATTGATGTGGTATGTGTAAAGAGGGTCTGGTTGGAGTTTATAGAATAGGGAATAATGAACAAAATGTGCAGAATAAAGGGCAAAAAAAATTAGATTATAGAAATATCTAAAAAAATAAAGAATAGAGAATCGTGGGGTGTTAAAATATAAAGAATAGAGAACATTAAGCAAAATAGATAAAGAATAGAGAAAAATATCTAAAAAAATAAATAATCCAGACCCTCGGTTATTACGCTAGCTGTATTCTACATGATGTTAGTTTGCTCCAAATTCTTATAAAATCTTTTGCTGAATGCTCAAATACTTGTTACACAATTCCTCCATGTTATAAGTTTATTGAAAATAATGCACTACTATCGGTGGCATACATGAAAACTAACAAAAAAACTGTTTACACAGAGATATGACCTTTTATGTCTCGTCTTTTTGTTTTTTGATAGTAAAATGCAAATGTTGAAATTAAAATAGCAATACTTTAACATGTAAGTTATCAAAATATTCAAAGTCAATTAACCATGACTGAAGGTACAGGCCCAAACAATCTCCATGGAAATGAGATGTGCCAATGCTAATACAACTGCATACCAAATATCATTGACCTACCATTAGACGTTCACCATAAATTGACCTAATCACAAACTACATGTAATTTAAGAAAAGTTTCAAAGTCAATAGACCATGACTGAGGGGCTGGGATAAAATCTATCTACATGGAATTGAGATGTGCCAATGCTAAGAAAACTGAATACCAAATATCATAGACCTACCACTACTGGTTCCCCATAAACTGACCTAATCACAAACTAATACATATAAACCAAACAAAAGTTTCAAAGTCAATAGGCCATGACTGAGGGGGTAGGGCCAGGTAAGCTAAAAAGGGGATGAACACCAAATAATTTTCAATAAAACAGATATAACTGGTATTATGATGTAAATGTGTATCAAATATCATTGACAATGTCCTGTTAAAATGATCTTATCATCACATTCTTTTTTAAACTCAAAAGTATTAGCAAACATAAAGTAGTTGTCCGACAGATCTGATAAGTGGTCACAATGATACCACTCATCACTGTTGAGCTGCTGACCAAAATGGAAACCAAACCAGGAATGACAAAAAGTCAAACCCTCACTTTGTTAGGCCTGGATTATCATTTAGACTTAGCTTCACAGCATCATTAAATTGCCTCTTTTTCATTGATATGACTGATAAGATATCAAAACAAGGTGACAGGGTTAGATTGTAATGAAACTATATCTGCCAAAGACTAACAGATAATATCTACACATCTACAGGTTACTTTGCAACCTTCAACAATGGACAAAGATCTCATAACATAAGGAAAGCTATAAAAAAAAAATATGCAAAAAAGAAGGTTTGATATATGTCATTCATTGATATAGCATTACACAAACACACAGTAAAATATAAAAAAAAAGTCAATTACCTGACTGATTGTAACAAACAGCTCCAGCTCTATTACTCATGGTATTATTACCAAGGTTAAATCGGGAATTAAAGGAACAGTTTAGTAATGAAGCCTCATTTCCTGTACAGTTGAAATCTCCCAATGTAATTGGTGGATCTTTGTGGAATGGGTCAGGAGACTGTTGGTACATAAATCCTGACTTGAAACCCTTAGATTTACAGAAAACCATAGCATCTGTATCATCCCAGAATCTGCTGGAGATGTGTCCCTTTACTCCATACTGTTCAACAGACAGGGTACCAGCTGATATGTTGACACCAGTTGACTTCTCAAAGTCAATTTTATAACCTGTGAAAAAGAAAAAAAAAGTAATCAAAACTATTGTGATTTCTTTCAATTCATTTTTAATAGGCATCAATCTAGGTCAAGTAGTTCAACAGATTTGTCCCCTCTATAAATCTTCTCAGTGGTTAAATTTGAGACTGACATTGTGTATTGTGTTATGAACTGGATTAAAATTTTCCTGGGTACTATAGTTAAGTATAGTTACTAAATGACTTAAGGTTTAATTAAAAGCCCAAGTTCACATCATTTTTTTGCAGATACAGATGCTTAAAAGAAGACTACCGGTAATGGATTATGTTTGAATTGGTAAAAAAAATCTGCAAAAGTTCCATTTGCTCGTCTGACACCACAAACAACATGGTACTGACAATAATAATACTAACTTCAATTGATAAGTGTCAATGTGTACGACACTACTGTATATTTAGATATAGGTGTGCATGGCTGAACTAATTTTTCGACCTTAACATTAAAACTGTATCCCACAAAACCTATGGTGATGGGCAAAATATTCTTTATGGCATCAAAAGGTTTACAGTAAAACATTGATTTTGCATATTTGTATTAGGATACAAATATATGAACTTGGAACTTGCAGATAAACATTCCAAACTTAATTATAAAACTCTTGCTTGTAGTGTGCAACATCAATACAAAGTATTTTAATTATTCTTAAATATTTTCAATTTTTAACAACAAATAACTTGCATCAAACAGACTGACAAATAGAAAGAGTGATATCCTGAACTTATTTTTGTTTACGTTTCGAGGTATGCAGAGTTCTTGAAAAGTGGTGGTCCAAAGGTTTTGACCACCAAAATTTTGCAAAGGACTGACACAATTTTGGTATTTTGCAATAGAAATAATGGTGAAGACCAGCAGATTTTCTTAAGGGACCACCAGGAAAAAAAAAAGATTTTGAGATCTCTGGGTATTGTATAATTAATGGATGAGCCACAATGTCTGAATTGATCAATGAAACTAAAGAAACTAAATTACATGGCTTCTTCTGTAATAGCGAAACTTATATACAGTACAAGGTTATTCAGTTAAAAATCACTCTTGTGAGGCAAATTCTTCACTATTTATGCTGATTAATGCAGTTGAATCATTCTGAAATATCTATCTGTTTGTCCCATAGGAAATAAGCAATAGGGTATCTCATATGAGTATTAACACCTTTAATCCCCAGTAATCCCATCATTTAATAGGAGCACCTAGAGTGAATTAGGGTTTCTGCTGGCAGTCAAAAACAAAAGTGTGGCCAAAATATACCTTCATTTGCAGAGAAATAGACTTAGCACTGACTCAATGTTTTATTGCCTTTGCCCTGTAATTTTAAAGACAAAAATATTTTTAAATTAAGTGTTTATTATTAAAATGTAGATTATGAAATAGAGATGTGGGATTAATTTCCATAAGACCACGACACAAATATAAATTTCTGTTATTTGCAAATAAACAGAATAAGATGGCGAAAAAAATACATTTTTAGCAAAAGAAGGGGTGTGGCAGTGGTGAAAATGAAAATTGACCTCGGGGAAACCCTGAAGTGACATGTACATTAGCATTACCTGGACCCTTTACATTATCAGACATCATGTAACACATCACTGAGGCATAATTATCATAACGTCCACAGTCAGAACTTGTCAAACATTTTAAGGCATCTTTCTCATTTCCTTGACAGATCAGTGATTTATTCTTCAAAACTAGGTCAAATGTTTTCCCGTAGGCAGAACCTGTCACAGCCTTGCCATCCTCGAAACCAAGTTCTTTACATACAACTTTGGCTGACTGGTCTGTAAAGCCTTTATCACAAACAACACTCCACGATTCATTGTAATAAATCATCACTGGACCATGTTTAACCTCTGTACCCACTCCTGTGTCTAGTTTAACTAAAAAGATATGAATTCTGATAAATAATATACACTAAGGTGGTTTATTTCTAGGAAGTTTAAATTCCATGATTTCTAGGTTTAATTTTCAGATTTTTCTTGTAACTTAATCTGATATCCCTTAAAGATCAAATATTACATGGGGGGAGGGGGGGGATTCTTAATTTTATCTTAATCACACAATTAGTGAAAATTCCTTTAGAAAAAAATTCCAACTTTACGGCATCCATTTGAAGATATTTGCTTTAAAAGATGAATGTTTAAAAAACTAATTGAAGGGTTAATGCCACAGATCAAAAATTTGAAAACATCTTTGTTAAAAATATATGGGTGACATCAATTCAAGCATTCAAGTATAAACTATATTGCTGAAAATAAGTACAATGTATTGTAAAAAAATATGTTCAAGCAAATAGATGTTCCTAGAGTATTTCTGTAAAAGTTCAAAATTTGAATAAAGGCAAGAAAATATAATTTGTATCTGTCTGACACATAGAAAATGTGAAGCTATTTTAAAAGTTTTCAATGTATTTCTCTTAAAAAAAGATTAATAAATGTTGATACTTTCTAATCTGCAGGCCCTTTCCCAAAGTATCTTTAGTGCATTTTTGTAATACAAGTAAGAAACAATTAGTAACTTTACTTATGCAGGTAACTTTTTTTATTGGGCAGCAAACCATTTTATCATACTGAAGTCCCTATTTTGTTTATGATGATAAATAAATTGTTTACCTGAGTTATAGCAGTGAACTGTGGCATCTTTTTCATGTGAACTACACGGTCCAATAGAAGAAGCCACTTTCCATCCTTCGTGAGCACATTCATTCAATGTTGATTCATCTCCATTACAATGAAGATTGGGTTCATAGATTCTTCCTGTCTGGACCTTGATGCTGTCTTTGTAATAAGGGAAACCAGTAGCAAAGCCAATAGATTTACAAAAGACGGAAGCATCCATCTTGTCCCAGTATCGATTACATATTGTGCCCCATACACCATCCACAGACATCTCAACACGACCATACTTAGAATATCCTCCAGCTAAGCGGAAATATACACCTGATAATATGAAAATAATAATATAAGAAATTGGTAAAGCTTTTTAATCTTTAAATGTATTGCTGAAAAAAAAGGTGAAAGAATTTAATTCCATGAATAAATGCAGATACACAAATGCAAAAAAATCAAGTACATGTATTATCCAAAAATATAGTGACCAGGCATGGGGTAATGCAAATTTGTAATTGTAATGCATGGTAATGCATTACATTTTTCCAAGTAATTGCATGTGATGTGTAATGCAGCAATTTGGGCATTACATGTAATTGTAATATAATGCATTACTTTAGCAAAAAGTTGTGTAATTTCATGCATTACATGGCATTACATGTCATTACTTTTTTCACATACTACATCTTTAACATATTGTTGGAGTTTTAACTAAACCAAATTTAAGATTTCTTGATTAATTAAGAATATGTTAATTTTAATTAAGGTCTATGTTTATTTTATAATTAGGGAAGTAATTCACAGTAATTAAATATTTCGTTTAAAATTTAAAGAAAAACAACAAAAAATATATTTATAAAAGTAAAGTCAACATTAAGTTAAAATAATTAAAAATTGTAAAAGTCAAATTAAATAGACTTTTTACATGTATACTTATATTCAATTCATGGAACAGTTACTGCATATGCTAGAATCTTTTGTGACTTGTAGTTGTTTTTCAAAATGTTTAATTTTTCTATTCACTAATAAAATTTTCAAATGTAATGTGTAATTCAAGGCATTACTTTGCAAAAGTAATTGTAATATAATGCATTACTTTGATAAATGCATGTAATTGTAATTGTAATATAATGCATGGTTTGGTCAAAGTAATTGTAATATAATGCATTACATTGCAATGTAATTCGCCCCATGCCTGATAGTGACTAACAAAATGCATATTAGTCACATGACTTGGAAATGATGAAGTAGGGAAGTTGTGCTTGATTTTGGTATCAATATTATGAGTCATGGCTCTTTCTAATGGATTTTTGATTGTGCTTATGCTGTGCTGTTACACCACTGTGCCCGGTTAGTGGAAAGGTTGAGCCATCAAAACATGTTTAACCCTGCCCCATTTTTATGCGTTTGTCCCAAGCAAGAGCCTGTAATCCAACGATTGTCATTGGTTGCTGTATGTTACAATTGTTATCCGTTTAATGTCATTAGCTAAAATCCGGCTGTTACATTTTATATTTGAAATTGCTTCACTTGTTTCCCCAATGCCTTTTATAGATTACTATACAGTATAGTTTTTGCTCATTGTTGAAGGCCAAACAGTAACCTGCAGTTGTTTACATCCTTGTTTATAGGTCTCTCGGAGATAAATGGTTTATTGGCTATCTAACTTATTTCCTTTTTTAAGAATTTCAATTATTTCTTTTATAATATACACAAATGAAAGCATATAAAAAAATCTGGAAATTAAGGAAAACCCTGGTTAAGGATTAATTTTTAAGAGCAAATTTAGAAATCTCGCTTATTCCTGAAAATTTTGTCGTGAATACAATATAAAATACATTGAAATATAAAGGATTATAGTCCAAAAATTTAGAAATGTGGTTTATTCTTATAAATTTTAATCTTACACAAAATCAAACCGGATTGAATTGAAAACTATTAAAAAAAAGAAATCCTAATAAAATTTTGGAAAAGATAGCACAAAACAAGAATTTTTTGTAGATATATGTAGAATATCCTACTGTTTGACAAGCAGATCACATTAAATCATCTGAAACTATTACAGTTTATATATTTACCAAGGTTAGAATAGCAGACGACACCAGCATCTCTCCGTGAAGTACACATTTTTACAGTTCCTGGATTGAATCCTGGACAATCTGCCAGTTTGAACTCATTTCCTGTACAATTGATATTGCTTGCCCAGATTGGTTTCCCTTCACCAAACAATACTTTATGTGGGTATGCTGAGCCTGCAAGAAATTTATTCAGAATTCCGGAATTTCTTGATCAATATATGGCAACCCTCACTTTTCTTTCTGAACTTTACATATAAAAATTACTGTGGATTCATTTATTTTCCTGGTACCAATTTTCTTTGATTGAGGGAAAATGTATTTCATGGTTTTTTATTTAAAATAAATACTGCATACAAGTTGACAAAATGCATGTTTGTTTTTTTTTAACAATTGAATAATTTGAGGTTAACCTTAAAACATGTAATCCATAAAAATTAGCATACAACCAATAATAAAGAATATATAGCATAACAATGGTTATGTAATACAACTTTTACTATCATCTTGTATAGCATCTTTTCCTTCTTTTATTTTTATTCATTTTTTTTTTTTCAAATGTTCGTCCTCAAACAGATAACTCTTTTAAGTCAATAGCTCCATAACACATAAAACAAAATACACAAATATGTGCAGCAAGATAGCTCAAGCATAGCTGCCTGCATAAAAAAGTGGCATCGATTACGTACCTTTGCTGTAGCCCAGCTGTCTACATGCCACAGTGGCATCTTTATCGTCCCAGTCATCAGCACAAATCCTACCCGTTATATTAAGGAAGTTTATGTTTAAGGAACCAGAGATATTGCTTCTTCCTTCAATGTCTAAGGTGTAATCTAGAATATGTAAAATGTTAAAAGTTTATAAAAGTTATTTTAAGTGGTAGGTTTTATCCAGCATGCATATGCAACTACAATTCAGTAATATATTTTCCAACTTCTAGGATTTCTTTTTTATTAGATTTTTATATGAATATGTGTCCTTTGAACTTTTGATACAATCAGACTAGCTAATTCTGAAATTTGTAAAAATTAAATTGATATGTTAAATTTCAAATTTTTGTAAAAATAATCTCTTTACACTTTCTGAAGCATTTAAAACAAAATTTTTTTTTACTTGTTTTTTTTAGATTTGGTTTGAATTTTGAAAATAACATTCTTACATATTCTATTCGTCTTTTTGAAAGCATGCAAATTCACTGAAAAACATTTTCAAACAATGATGGCAGATGTGGCATATATGGCCAGAGAGATCTATGAAATGTATCATTCACAACTTCTTACTTGTTTTAGGTGGCAAAGTTCCATTATAACAAGCTACAGCTGCATAGTCTCTGGAACATGAACTGTATGGAGCAGAACTATCACATTTTAACAAACTGTCTTCTGGACCTGAACAGGTGACATTGTCAAGTACACCTTTGGTGTACATGTACCCGTATGCTCCACAGCAAACTGAAACACCATGTTGCAATCCTAACTGTCTACATGTTACATCTGTAATAAAGTTATTTTAAGTGACACTTTCTTATTTACTCTGTGAAAGCATGTCTACTTTGGTTTCATTCATAAATAAAAAAATACATTTTGAGTTGTAAATAAAATCTCATGAGTTATCTCCCTTTGGACACAACAGTCATTACAAAAAAAAAAAAAGAAATGGTCCACATTACTTTTTCCTAATCCTTGCCATTTAAACTATACTCATATGAAATTTTATACAACACTCAATACTCCCAAACCCCAAAAAGATGCATTTTCACTTTTCAGAGGCAGAAATGGGAGAAACCTTATTAAAATAATTATCTTTATTCTTAAAAAAAATCTTATAAATTAGAGCAGATTTATTAAAATTTTTGCTTTCTAACAGTTTATCTGTTTAAAGACGACTGGTAACACAACCTTACCTATTTCTTCCTGTCCCCATTTATGATTACATACAGTTCCCCAGTTATCATTAACATGTACTTGTACAACTCCATGTGTCTTATCATCTCCCTTGTTCAGTCGCACTGAAAAAGACAAAACAAAGTAAACTTATAACAATGTAACCAAACAGATTAAGTTTGGTTAAGTTAACTGATGTGATCAGATGACATCTTATGGGAGTTATTTCCCTTTGAAAATTTAACATAGGTGACATGTTGAATAAATTCATACATTATAAGTCATAGAGGCCTAAAGTCTTTTGATATGAAGTCCTTGGTCCATTTGGAGGATATTGAGGTCAAGGTCATGTTCTAAATTTTAAATTTTGCTTGTTATTTTTATTCAAAAGAAACCGTAACAGTTAATGATATAATATGTTTGCCACATAATAGTTTACCATAGGGCGCAACTTCAACCCATTTAAGTCGAAGTGTTTTGGTCAACCCTTATAGGAGTTTTCCCCCCTTAAGTATTTGAAATCAGTATTACTCCGCAACCATACAAGTGAATGACCTGGGTTCTTTCGATTTGAGATCACTGACATAGAGGTCAAGGTCAAAGGTCAATTTGACGTTCTATATTTTGACCTTTGCTAAAAGATCTTACTGGTTCATTAGAAAACAATTAAGTCTTCTGAATTTAGTTGTAGACATTTCACCATTTATCAGGTCAACCGGAAATGACCGTATTTTAACCGGAAGTAGCCTACTTCAGACTAATCCTATGAAAAAGTACCTAGAATTCTTATTTTTTAATATCAGTTTGAAGTAACAAATTACATGAACCAGGAGTGACATTTTCCAACACCTTTTTTTAAATTTCATTCTTTATTATCAAGGTGGAAAGACCTTCAATTGTTCTGTGAACAATTGGTTTTTAATTTGTACATTAATTAAAATAAAATAAATGCCTACCAGCTTCCATGCAAACAACTGTAGCATCATCACATGATGAATAATCTGCATCCCATGTCAGACGACACTTTAGTAAAGAATCCTCCGATCCATCACAGTCTACATTATCTATCCACACATATCCTGAGCTACGAGATACAGCTCTTGGACCAGACCTGCCATCAATAAATCCCATTTGTTTACAGAAAACTTTGGAGTCCTTGTCGTCCCAACGTCTGTTACAAATACGACCCCATTCACCGTTAAATTTGACCATTACTTTCCCAGTAGTTCTGGTACCGTTTATACCAATTTTGATACCATCTTAAAAAAAAGGTCTACAATATAATATTCAAATGGCATGTACAGGCATACAACTACTTTTTGATTAATTTGAAAGTTTACTAAGTATTATAAATTTTTACAACCACAATGATGTTCAACATTTTTAATAATAAATGCACACAAACATTTCTGAACTTACAGTAACAAAAATTTGAAATGATGACTGATGTATGTTGTATACCAAGGACTGATAGTAAACCCATACATACCCATATGATCAAAACACAACACCCCTGCTGTAGGCCATGAATATTTATCAGCAATCTTCTCAGCACATCCTAAATCTGTATTCATTTTCTTGTATTGACATTCTCCAAGTCTGTTTTCCACTCCTGTACAGTTAAATCTCCCAACTGACACAGGGTTTGAAAGGTGTGTTATTCCATTAAAAGCTACACCACCTAAATAATGAAGCTGATGGCAGGTTGCATTAGCATCATGGTCGTCCCAATCCACGTCACAAACTGGGCTCCAGAAACCATACACATCAACTTCTAAGGACCCATAGTATTTCATTTCATGGATTCGTATTTGTAAATCTGATAAAAGAATTATTTCAGTAAAAAAGTATTTTTGTACACCTTATGAGAGAAAGTAAAAATAATTATTATAAAAGAACAGTGTTCCTATGTCCCCACATCGCACACATTTTATTTGTCAAAGGGCAAAACTAAATCACAAAATTTTTTTACGGTTCTTTTAAATTCTTCAGTAAATAATAGTAAAGATTAGAACAAAGCTACTGGTAATTCATTTAGTTTTTATATTTGGAAAATAAGCTTTGTAAATCATTGATAGTTTCTGTAAAATTTGTTCTTAACATTTCTACATCCAAGTAATATAAAGCTTGACATATTGTATAGACATTCCTTTATTGTAAAAGATCTTATGTTGAACTCTAGATGGCCTTTGCATTTTTTGGAAGTGATTTGATTTCTGTCTCATTGACCTATACAACAAATTTCCTACAATTCATATTTACATTTTAAGTCTATTACTTAAAATTGGTCTTGCATGAAAGGAAAAGTTTCATAAGCGAAGCTGACTTCTTAGAACTTTACTTGAAATATGAGACATTAACTTAACAAGAGTGCACACGCTAAAATGTCTCGCCTTCTTAACTAACCATTGATTTTATGTTGATAGTCCTAAATATAAAGCTTTACTACAAGTAACACATAAACTTAACATGATCCAAGAAAATGAGGTCAAGGTCAGATAAACCAAACGAGAAATACATGTACACCTTACAATCATTCAATAAACCAAACATAGTTGACCTATTGCTTATAGTTTCTAAGAAACAGTCTTTACCAAGAAAACTTAACATTGACCAATGAACCATGAAAATGAGGTCAAGGTCAGATGAACCATGCCAGACAGACATATACACCTTACAATCAATGTATGCATTAAATATAGTTGACCTATTGCTTATAGTTGACAAATACAGACCAAAACACAAAAACTTAACACTGAGAGATGAACTGTGAAAATGAGGTCAAGGTCAAATAAAACCTGTGAGACTGACATGTACATCATAAAATATTTCCATACACCAAATATAGTTGACCTATTGCATATAGTATTAGAAAAAAAAGACCAAAACTCAAAAACTTAACTTTGACCACTGAACCATGAAAATGAGGTCAAGGTCAGATGACACCTACCAGTTGGACATGTACACCTTACAATCATTCTATATACTAAATATAGTAGACCTACTGCTTATAGTATCTGATATATGGACTTGACCACGAAAACTTAACCTTGTTCACTGATCCATGAAATGAGGTTGAGGTCGAATGAAAATTGTCTGACGAGCATGAGGACCTTGCAAGGTACACACATACTAAATATAGTTATCCTATTACTCATAATAAGAAAGAAATAAACATTACAAAAAATGTTGACTTTTTTTTCAAGTAGTCACTGAACCATGAAAATGAGGTCAAGGACAATGGACATATGACAGACGGAAACTTCATATCATAAGGCATCTATATACAAAGTATGAAACATCCAGGTCTTCTAGCTTCTAAAATATAAAGCTTTTAAGAAGTTAGCTAACGCCACTGCCGCCGGATCACTATCCCTATGTCGAGCTTTCTGCGACAAAAGTCACAGGCTCGACAAAAATTGCATCTCATGATCCTCAATAAGAAGTTATTTTAAGACAAGCGAACAATTGAATCTTACCTGATTTCGGAGCCAAGACGTCATATGAACAGTAAACAGATACATAATTCCCAGACTGACAAGTTCCAAATTCATGCGGACAAACATCCAAACTCTCCTCACTCCCATTACACCGAATGTTAATTATACTTATGTTGGCATTTGGTACATGTCCAAGCGCAGAGCAACACTGGTACAGACCATCTCTGTAACCAAGACGACGACATACAACCATTGCCGCCAAGTTTGTAAATCCTGTGTCACAGACACTGTAGAATTTTTTATCTGCTTTCACAAACATTTCTACTCTTCCGTAGGAGACATCTTTTGAATCTACAAGTCTAACTGAAATACATAAAAAAAAACATAACATATAATAAAGAACATGTAAAAAAGATAACCAGAATTATATATAAATAAATATTGAACACCGCAAGACTCTTCACCAACCATCCAAAATCAAAAACAATAGGAACATTTTCCATGGACCAAACCATATCAATTGTACTTTTGTTTGTAACAGTCCACTGCATCCTGCTTCTGTATTGTTTCAAATTCCAGACACATTATATTTAACTCATTTCTATTATATGTTATATATGGTGCCCTTACATTATAAATCAGATGTATTATCAATTCATTTAAATCAGCTGTTTTGTTTTAAGTCTTTAAATAGCAAAAGTGACTGACTTTACTTTGTACATGCATGACCAACATAAAGTTCCAATGTTTCTACATATATTTTACACATAAGCTATACATCTTGACCTCATCTCATATATGATCATGATGAAATTTTTACTGATTTAAATAAGAATGATTGCACTTTTTAAAAACTTTTTAAACATAACTTTTTGCTTTATCCCTTTCTAAAATTTTTTTTAAATACTGATTTACTTATTAATTACCTAAATTTTAATCAAAATATAAAACCAATATCTGCTATTTATGGTTCTCAAATATGAAAAATCATAATACTGCATAAAAACAAAACTTAAGCATTTAAAGTAAACTAACCAGAATCATAACACTGAACAGCAGCATCTGTACTATGTGAATAACATACGCCACGGATTGGTCGGAATCTACGAAGTCGCCTACCGGAACGTTGATTTGGTTGTGCATTGAAAACAATTGGACACTGGAAAATGTTTGTTTCATCCCCTTTGCACCGAGCGTATTCCACCCATATTGGTCCTTGTCCTGCCCCAAACTTGCCGTAACGTAATGCTCGGCCCCAGGAATGACCGTTCATACGACATACTACTGTAGCATCTTCATCATTCCAGGATGATGTACCACATACACTACCCCACTGTCCACCAATATTTATCTCTACACGGCCATGCAGTGGACTGGTTCCATTTACAAACCTGACATGGACATCTGGAAATAACAAGTTTATTTGTAAGTATTACCTCAATTTTCTCTATTTCATTCAATATTGAAATATTCAGCTTAATTAAAACAATGAATTATAAGATAAATTGCTCTTCTGTCAAAAACAGTAGGATACTGTGTGTATAAATAAATGGATTAACACTAATAACACTAAAATTTTTCATAAGTAACAGTAATAACTAAATGTTGTTTTTTTTTGTTCTGTTTTTTGTTTTGCTTAGCAAACTATACACAAACATATATATGTCTTTATTATAAATTTGAAAGTAAGATATGACAAATTTCCCCTAAAAAACATCAAAGAAAAAATCAAAACTAACCTGGATTATCATGACAATAAACAGCAGCCATAGTATCAGTAGAACAATCTCGTACATCACCCCAACGAATGTTACCACAGCGAGCTAGATATCCTTCTGATCCAGTACAATTCAGGTACGACAGCCACGGTAGGTTTTGACGATTTCCAGATACAAACTCGTGTTGATAGTAGGCAAATCCTCCTTGAAAACCTTTCTCACGACATATCACCTTAGCATCATTATCATCAAAGCCGTTTGTGCAGATTGATCCCCACACATCAAGATGACGAACTGATACAACACCTTGATTTTCAGAAGATAACCGCAACTCATATGCTAGAATAAAAAGAATAGATAAAAGAATTTGTAAATATTTTTCTTCAAGTTCAATTGAAGATGAAATTCATTTTCAGATTGAATGTCCTGCATTCAAACAACAATGACAAGTAATGTTTGAATCTGCTTTAAAATTATGTAATAACTTCAAAAATCTAAATAGAAAAAACAGATTTATGTGGCTTCTTTCTTGTGAAAATGAAGAAATATGCATCACTGTGGCTTTAATTTGTTATAAATGTTTAACAATAAGAAAACAACTGCTATAATTAAATCCATATTATCATGAGCTTTACCATTATTGTTTTTTTACTTTTGTAATTATTATATGTAACATGCCCTTTATGGGCCGATAATTAGTTTCATAAAGTTTTTGTCTTCATATTCGCATACTGTAAAAATAAAATTTTATCAACTATCGAAACTACTACACTACAGCTAATGAGGATTTTGTCATGTCTACTTATCCTGGCAAAGTTTCCAGATGGTCCCCACTTCAGAATTTTACTTCTTTCATCGTAAGAATTGAACATAGAGTGTCTTGGATGAAAGAGCTTGGCTTTTGTCTTCAATATTTTCAACAAAACCTATGGTTAACTTTTAGTGGATGGGAGTGGGCTTGCAACAGTTGATAGGTGGAAATGCCAAAATCCTTCTTCACTGTTTGTGAGTCATCAATGCAATACCATTTCTGACCAATATCTTATTTAAATAAATGGGGATACTTGGTAAGTATCAATGAAATAGTTAATGACTGGAGGTCATTACACAGCCTTCAACAATAGACAAGTATATATCTTTCCTTGTAAGAAATTATTTCAATCATTTAAAGTTGGAAAAATTTAAATTGACTCTTGCAAGAAATAACTAAACATCTTTCTACAGCCAACAAACCTCCACTAGATGCAGAATCGGAGCAAGCTACAGCAGCATATTTTTTACTTGGACAGGCCTCTCTCAATGTGTTATGTTGACACTGCAGAATAGAATCCTCGTGTCCTGTACATGCAACATTGTTGATGGTTATTGGATGTTTCATGTCTCCAAACACAGAACAACAAATACTGATCCCGTTTTGTTTTCCAAGCCCTCGGCAGACAACCTGAGCGTCTACATCATCAAACTGATCAGCACAGACTAGTTTGTAGCCATCATCCTGCCAAACCTGTACAGCACCATAGGTTATGTTGGGTTCCAATCGTACTGTAAACATGAGATCAAATACAATAAAACATGGATTAATTCCTGTGTAGGCATTTGTTTAAGAACCCGAAATTATAAAAATGGAGTAGTAACAAACAATAAATATTTTGCTCCATACTTTAGTTGTATTTCAATTACATTGAAAATATAAATAAAATGCTTGGCTGAGCGCAGCCTGATACGACTGCCGAGGTTGAACCTTGAACAGTTGGGGCAAATTTGGACACAATATTCAAGCTTGATACTGTCTGAATTTGGATTATGATCAAATTTTTGACATAATATAGGTTTCTGACACAAAATGTGGTCAAAGATCTTAAAAATCTATTGCACAATACTGTGCATTTGAAGATTTCTTCTTTAAACTTTTCAAAAAATTTGAAATTTAAAAAAATCTTGAAAAAAAATATGAACCCCTTAAAAAATTGGGAAAAAAAATCCTCCCCAAAATTTTTTTTGACCCCCACTCCCCCCTTTGAGCAATTACCCCCAAACTCAATCCCAGCCTTCCCTTTGTAGTATGGAACCTTATAGTACAATTTGAGAGATCCATACACTTAAACACAAGTTATTGTCTGGAAACTACAAAAATGCTTGATTTTGGCCCTTTTTTTCCCCTGATTCCTGCATGTTTGGGGCAATTACCCCCAAACTCAATCCCAGCCTTCCCTTTGTGATATGGAACCTTGTGGTACAATGTCAGAGAGATAAATACACTTACACATAAGTTATTGTCCGGAAACTACAAAAATGTTTTTTTTGGCCCTTTATTCATGAACTGTTGGTATCATAACCCCCAAAATCAATCCCAACCTTCCTTTTGTGGTATCGAACATTCTTGTAAAATTTCATAGAGATCCAATTACTTAAACTAAAGTTATTGTCCGGAAACCAGATGTGCCTTCGGACGACAACGACGACGACAACATCATAGCATTATACGAACCCCAAAAAAAGTTTGCGGTCGTATAAAAATATAGATATTTTTATTCATAGTTGCAAAAACTCAAGCAATTTATGAGAAATCAAATCAAGTAATTTTGTGCCAGAAAACAGGTAAAAATGTATGGCATGCTATCTTGCTATAAAATCATTATATTTAAGTACACCTTACAACTTTTATCATATTCCACAGTTGACTGATTGGCTAAATTTAGAACATCATGGGTTGGTTCATATTCTGTCTATGATGACGATTACAGTTTTGGTCAGAAATATACAATGAGGGGCTGAATATTTAGTCCAAATTCAATAGTTACCATGCATGATCTTAATTGTGATATTACATGACTTGGATTAAAGGTAATCAGTAAGATCATGTAAAGTTACTATTGAATTTGGACTAAATTTTCAGTCAACTATATACCTCTCATTCATTCAATTGTTGCCTTATTCATTTATATTTCGTGATATCAATTTGAAGTATTTTTCAAAAACTGTATTTTCTTGGGCCAAAAATGGGCCTTATTGCTCATATTCCCTTTGCATAATAGCTCTTCAGTTTTGTTCTTCACCAAAGTTTGAAAAGAGTGTCTCTGTATCAAAATAGGGTATTTTTAAGCAGGCAGGATGAAATTGGCTGTGATTGAGTTTTCTAGATTTTGAATATCAAAATTTGATTTTGGCTATTTATATCTCCTATGGCTGAAATATTGACTAAATGTAAATACATTCTTAAGAAAGGATCCAAACACATTCAGCTGTCAATCACTTTCTTTTATCCACTTAAACTATGATTCAGATCATTCCCAAGCTTTTGATAGGTACAAAAGTACAGGTTCCTTTTAACAATGGGTCGTCTATATGAAGCTACTGCCTGCAATATCTACCTCTTGAGTCAACAACCTCAACTCTTCCTACTACTAGACATTTTCTCAAGATTATTACGGAATGTAAATTGTGATAACTTTTTGCTTGTGTAGAAGAAAATATTTTGATAATTTTATGATTTATGATAGATAAAAAAAAAACAGAGGCTCTTTACACAAATTGATCATAACTTATACAGAAATGTTCATGACGTTAGAGTATTTTTTTCTTGTAAGTTTTTTTGTGAAATTGATCGCTGTTTCTCAACTTAACTTAAATCTTAAAAATTCTATTATAACAGTTAACCAGATGGCATCATATTGCAAGTGATCATGTGTTAAGATGTGGAATGTGTTTACAGGATGTAATAAACAAAAAAGGGCATGCATACCATGTTTTAACATTGAACAAGCATTTAAATTTTATTTCAGACATTCTATGACTTGATAAGTACATGACTTTGATTTTAAAATGATAAATGTTTGTTAAAAAATTAAATTAAATCATAATGTTTGACAATATCTCCCACATTTAATTTACCTTTTCCTGTGCAATAGACTACAGCATCATTCTCATGGGATCTACATGATGAATGTGTTACATTCCAACCACTATTTGTACATTCCCAAATATTCTTCTCATCTCCATCACACCTAACATAGTATAACCACGATCTACCTGTCCCTGGTCCATGCTTCCCCTTGGGTTGAGCAACACCATCAACATAGCCTAGCTGACGACATACAACCCTGGCATCAGAGTCAGACCAGTACGAGTCACATATGGTCCCCCATTCTCCGTTAAAGGCTATTTCTACTCTACCACTGTTGGGCATGTTAGATCCAGCCAGTCTGATTTGAAATCCTGCAAAATATTTGTTCACTCTAATTCTAAATTGTTATAAGTTATAAATAGAAGCAACAATATGCCAATCCCAACTTCTCAGAAACATCTTGAACTTCTTCTAAATTTAATAAGAAAATACTATAGGCATCTAAAATTCTTATACAGTGTAAGATTGATTGACTCTTTGTTTTCTTACATATCAAGATGGACAAATTTAATACATGTTCTAGACGACTATCACAGGAAATATTATATATACATATTATTTGCAAAACTACAAATAAACCACAATTTAAAATATTCTGTTCTTTTTAAATGTTACAAAATAGAATCTTGCATATGCTAGTTATATAATTTTCTGGTGATCATTAAATAATTTTTCTTTTCATAACAGCATAGATAAAGAGGGTTTTATCTAAAGTTACCAAATACATTTTTCATGTTTCTTTCTCTAATCTCACACCATCTCCTCTCAGGCTTAAAATTTTGTATACCAGACAAGTGTTTCATCTAAAAAAGACTAATCATTGACACTCAAATCAAAAAGTTAAAAAGGCCAAGTAAAGTACGAAATTAAAGAGCATTGAAGACACAAAACTCCAAAAGGTTTTGCAAGTTACAGAAATAAAAAATGCCTTGGAAATAAAAGAAATTTCAAGCCTAATATTAAAGTTACCATCTCCTCTGTAACAAAATACTCTAGCTGCATGCCTACTTGATCTACAACTCCTACTGATGTCAAGTTCTCCCTGAGGTTTACAAAATTTGATATCCCTCTCCGTCCCAGTGCATGAGACATTTGACATCCATATTGGGGTACGAGAACTATAGTAGCGAGGACCAAATGGTACACCGCCAGCATAGCCCATCTGTTTACAGACCACTGTGGCATCATTACTGCCCCAACCCTCAGCACAAATTGTACCATTTATACCATATTTCTGGATCAAGACTGGAGCTGGGAAACTATTTTCGACCAATCCCCACACTCTTATATCTATAACATAAAGAAAAAAAATTGAACATATAATACATTGGTATATAAGAATTCATGTATGACATATTTACCAGATTTATACATGTCATACTTATCATTTCTGTCCTGCTCCCTTCCCCTAACACCCACTTCCCATGTTACTCCCACTTTATATACCCTAAATTCCTGTTCCAGGTTCGATAACCTCTTATTCCCACCAATTCTTTGTTAAAAAAAATGTGACAAAAATATATTACAGACAAATGAACAAACTTAAATTCTATGTACAAAATACCCACAAAAATGAAGCTATAATTAAAATAGAAATAGTTTATTATCTATTTATCTATGAATAAAATGTTCCGCAGAGCGCAGCTTGATACAGCCGCAGAGGTCAAACCCCGAACAGTTGGGGCAAGTATGGACACAACATTTAAGCTTAAAACAGCTCTGAATTTGGATTGTGATTGAATATTTGACACAGCATAGGTTTGTGACACAAAATGAATGTGGTCAAAGAACTGAAAAATTTGAAATTGGACATTTACCTATTATGGTCCAATATCCAAAATCTAAGTACATGGTTAGAATCAGCATATCAAAGAACCCCAAGAATTCAATTTTTGATGAAATCAAACAAAAGTTTAATTTAGGACCCTTTGGACCTCAATGTGGACCAATTTGATAACGGAGCCCAAAATCCAAAATCTAAATACATTGTAAGATTCAGCATTTCAAAGAATTTTTGTTGAAATCAAACAAAGTTTAATTTTGGACCCTGATTTGGATCAACTTGAAAACTGGGCCCAAAAATCCAAAATCTACATACACGTTTAGATTCAGCATTTCAAAGAACCCCATATATATTCAATTTATGTTGAAATCAAACACAGTTTAAATTTGGACCCAGATTTGGATCAACTTGAAAACTGGGCCCAAAATCAATAAAATGCTTCGCTTAGCGCAGCCTGATACAACGGCAGTGGTCGAACCCTGAACAGTTGGGGCAAATTTGGATACAATATTCAAGCTTGATACAATCTGAATTTGGATTGTGATCAAATTTTTGACATAATATAGGTTTCTGACACAAAATAAATGTGGTCAAAGATCTTACAAATCTAATGCGCAATACTGTGCAATTGAAGATTTCTTCTTGAAACTTTTCAAAAATTTGAAATTTTGAAAATTTTGAAAAACAAATATGAACCCTTTTAAAAAACAAGAAATGATTGTAACAGGATGCTGTTACAAAGTCTCCCAAACGAAGCTCCCATAATTCGTAATTCCCAGGGTCGCCTGACATTTGGCAAAGTCCAGTGAAAATTGGTTTGGTCCAGTAAAGTTATATGCATTAGTGATGCCTGGGGACTAACCCTGTATATCATTCAAATCATCTTGGCATGACAAACCAGAATATATATGGTTTAGGGGTGGGGATCTTGACCATTTACAAGATACTAGAACATTGGGGTGGGGGGAACTCCTGGGGACTGACCCTATACATCATTACCTATGTATCATATAAGTCCTCTTGTCAGAAAAAAACAATAAAATATCTGGCAATAATAAAAAAGATTTTTTTTTATATCAAAAACGAAAAGAAAGTTGTTATATCAATCAAAATTCAATTAAAAACTACTCTGTTATCATGTTTATGAAATTAAGTATATCTCATTAAAAAGATATTTAAATTTAACAGTTTTATTTAACACAGTTAAGCTTGGACATAATATAATTATATTAGTGTAATAGTCCCAGAGTTGAGCAACTTTAATTTATAAATTGAAACAATGCATATACATGGAAATATATACATTAATCAAGAAGATCTAACCAAAAGTATGTTAATGCTTGTGGAATGCATAATTTTTCCTTTTGGGATCAATTTTCTTCTGTCAGCTGTGCCATTCATGCGTCCGTAGTCATTATCGCAAGAATCCAGATTTCGGTCATAGCTGGTCCGTTTCCCATGAAATCCCTACTCCAATCCGTAGTTGAACAATAATTTGCCCAAAAATTTAAATGGCGGACGAAGAAAAATTTACAAAAATAAATGATGTTTGACACGCTATTTGGAAGGGAATATGATGTTTTTAATGCAATATAAGGATAACCAATTTAATTCAGGCAAATTCCATCACGTTCTAATGAAGTGGCAAGCTTATTTTGCCGAAACTTAGAATGATTTGATATACGCTCTCAGTAACAAGTACCGGAAGTGATAAAAAATTGTCTTTATGAAAATTACATGCAACCAACTTTAAAATCAATGCTTTAACCTCTTTTCTAAAGAAAATAAATTGTTAATGTCTTTGAATTTCTTTACTTTCAAATGAAAAATTGCTGTTTCATCGACTTGGTAAATGTTTAATATTGCCGATGACGAAAGCGACTGAAAGAGAGTATCGTGAACAACAGGAGGACTAGATTTTGCTTTTGACGGTTGGGCAAAGCGAAGTGACGGACGGGAAAGCGACTTTGTCGCCCCAGTCGCCTGCTAGCGTGAGCCCTGTCCATACACTTACACTAAAGTTATTGTCTGCAAACCAATTTATTTTCCATGAACCAGTAAAACTGACCTTTTTTTGGCCCCTAATTACAAAATCGCAAGGACAATAGCCCCCAAAAACAATCCCAACCATCCTTTACTGGTATGGAACTTTGTGCTAAAATTTCATAGAGATCCATGAACTTATACTCGAGTTATTGTCTGCGAAACCAAAATGTCTTCAGACGCAGACGCAGACAACACCATAACATAACATAATACTTCCTGCAGTCGTATAAAAACAATTCAAAGCATTTTTTTTGTCCTTCTTTTAAAAATTATGATACCCTCAAACTGGTAGATTTAAGTGGTGCAAAATCATACTCATATTTAAGAAGTGACAAAAATAACACTAAATAGGACTGTTTTCAACAAATTTTACCTTGATCATCTATCCTTTCTTTGGTACAGAGTACACTAGCATAGTTATAGGCCCTGTTTGGACATTCTCCTTCTTGATACTGACAATCTTTGATCGTCACCTCACTACCAGTACAATTCAATTTGATCACAGAGTCTGTGTAATACTTTGAACCAAAGGCTCCATTGACCAGACGTTTGCTGTTAGGAAAACCAAGTTCTCTGCACACAACTCGAGCTGCATTGTTATCGAACATGTCACCACAGACGGTGATCCACGTAGAACGGAGGTACATCTCTGCCATTCCTAATGTGGTATTGTGTCCATTATCTCCTCCACTGACTCTCACTGAAAAAAGATAATTCTATAGTTTAAAGATGTTTGTTGGGGACTATTAGAACTATAACTTTCTACAATTTAAAACACAATAGTGAAGCGAAAAGTAACTTAAAAGAAAACATTCAAAACAAAAAAATGAAACCATTTAAAGCTAGTAATGACAACCTTTTACTATACAATTTTATCATTTTACAATAATCTTCCCCATTGAAAGTGTTCTTATACATTGTAAACTTTTGTAGACATATTTATTTCTATTTGGTGTTCAATTTCATTTTTCTAAATTCTAATACCATCAACTAAATCTAAAATAATTTTATGCTTTAAATCTTTTAAAAGACACTAAAAAAAACCCACAAAATTCCATACCATTATTGTAACAGAATACACCAGCATCTCGTTTTGGGTTTGAACATGAAGAAGGAATATCTTTCTTCCATCCTGGATTTCTACACATAAATATACTAGATTCTCCACCAAAACAACCCATTCTGGACAATACCTTTGGACGATTTGGACCTTCCAAACCCCTACAAAGTCAAACTCAAATATCAATTGTTTTTTCTAGAACATTTTATTTCATATAAGTGGGTGCACATGCAATAAACAGTTAAATTTTCAAATTGCTTAAAAAAAAATTTGTTTGTTGCAGTATTTAAATTTTGGTTTGTATATTTTCTGGTTTTCTATTTGTCTTATTCACATCAATTATATATAATTGCATTACATGTATGTTTCATTTGAATCCATAATCCAACAATCGAGCAGCACTCTAATTTCATATTTTAATTCCATATAAATTACAACAGCTTTGAAAGCACATGCTATCCGTGACAGTGATAAAAAATGCAAAGAAAAACAAAAATTTAATTATAAGAATTGAATGCTTCTTTTTTTATAATTTGATAGGGTTTTAAAAGTGTTGTTTGTGGGCACATGCTCCTGCTCTCCATAAAAAATGTGCTTCAGTCAATGATTTTACACCCTTATAAAATTATAAAAGGAAGCATTCAATTCGTAAATAAAACAATTTGTCTGCTCAATGTCATCAGTTACAAACCTAATTTCCATGGAATCCCTACACAAATACTTGTTTAATAATTTCAACACAAAACATGACCACAGCAAACTAACAAATTGCATAATGGGACGCAAAATTGTCTTGGATGAAGGAAAAAAGCTTTTTTTATTCAAATAAGACTAAAAAAATTTGTAACTTACCTCCTGTATTCACCATCTGTAAAGCCAAGCTGTTTACAGGCCACTGTGGCATCATACCTTGACCATCCCTCATCACATATAGATCCAACCTCATTGTCCATTGTCACTTCCAGTCGGCCGGAGTTATGAGTCCCACCAACCAACTGCAGGGTTGGCTCTAGAAGACAATAAAGTTATCATGCTTCATGTTAAAATGATAGTTATCAGGGTAAAATTTTACTCTTACACATGGCTCGGAAGGTAAAATTTCTGTTTAATGTAACCTTTTCTGAGAGGAGTATAGAGCAGAAAAGCATTGTCGACCAAGGTGAAATATCTATTTTGATCTATGACATTAAGCTTTAATTTAGTTTAAAAGCAAAAACTAAATGCTGAGAACATTTGTTACACAAGTTGTACATGCCAAAAAGGTAACGTTGTATGTACTGGATAACTTTATTACAATTGACACAACATACATGTTACTTTTAAACCTTTAAATTCAGCTAAAAAGGAGAAAAAATACATACTCCTTTGATTGTAACACAAAACACCTGCATTTCCAGATGTAAACTGTGAGTCACATTCATCACCACCAATAGGACATTGGAATAATGAGGTCTCATTACCACGGCAATTTACCTCACCCAGGAAGTATGGCCCACTGCCTGATGCTGTCTGCTGAAATGCCACACCACCTAAAACATATCAAGCATACTGTAGAGGCCAATTTCCTGAAAAGGGATTTATATAATTAACACCAAGGGAAACAGATTTATATAACTTTTTCTTTTTCCTGATTCCCTGTAATTATATATTCTATTGTATATTTGTTATTTGTGCACTTTTGTAAAACAAAATATTGTTTAAACTAACATGAAACCTAGTTTTACCTTCAGATATTTCAGATTTTGAGAAAACCACAAATTTCATAAAACAGGTTTTTTTTGTTTGTTTTAATTCTCAGGATCATTATCTTTTAGTGCAAAAAAAAAATAATTTGTAAGGGTTCCACGGAACGCAGTGTCTCGCCTGCTTTTTCTATTGTCTATGTTTTCAGTGTGATAGGGGAATGCACATAATAGATTTACAGTTAATGAAATAAAACGTTTGAAATGTATGAAAAAAGTTACGCTTGTAAAAAATGAATACAGTATGCAATCAAATTTATAGATTTATAAAAGAGTTGAAACATAAATTTATTGAATGAACAATGAAAAAGAAGATAATGATAACTAAGTCCATTTATAAGTAATATACGGAAAAACAGGAAATAAATTTTTACAAAATTTCCTTCTAGATACTAGCTTTTGATCATAAACAAGCTTCTGTCCAAGTTTGGTACAAATCCAGGATAGTTTAAGAAAGTTATTAAAATTTTAAAAACTTTAACCACAGAGTGAATGTAATGTTAACTGGCAGAAAAATTAAGTCCATTTATAATTAAAATACAGATAAACAGGATTTTTTTTTTTTACAAAATTTACTTCTGGATACTATCTTATGATCATAAACAAGCTTCTGTCCAAGTTTGGTACAAATTCAGGATAGTTTAAGAAAGTTATTAAAATTTCAAAAACTTTAACCACAGAGTGGAATGTATGATCGCTATGTCTCGCTTTTGTGAAAACAGTCGCAGGCTCGAAAATAAATCTACTTTTTCATTCTTGTATATATGCGATCAGCTGTTCTAAGAACTGCATAATTCAAAAAGCAAAAAAACACCCTTTCCTCTTTGTACATATCAATCTCAGGGTTATATCAGCAGACAATAAGGCATATTCTTACACAAACAATCAATGTTTCCACTATTTTAGTAGAAATTAAGGATGATTCTATCCAAGCCTAAAACTTGCTTTCAAATACTGTTAGAAATGTACAAAAACTGTTTTTTTACTGTGACATACTTTTAGTAAATGGCTTACAAACAAAATGAGAAAAGACTGTTCTATCAAATCATATGTAATGCTCATAGAGGGTACTTAGAAAACGAAGTAACCATCTGAAGAGGCAATTTAAGAATTTCACTTTCATTTATACTTAACAAAAAGTATTTGAGATAACCTATAGTTGAGATTTTTAAGTGCCTTACCAGGGTACTATGTACATGATGTATGTTTTTTTTTTAAAGAAATAGCTCTAAAGGCAATTATTCCAAACACTTTCACATATTTCATCCCCGATACTATACTGGTTTCTAGTATACTGCTACCAACCTCTATGCATTACTACATACAAACAGTTATAATAATCATCCCAAACATGTGAATATATCCCTGCTGGTTTATTAGTGCTATAAATATTTCTCTATGCTCTATGTTTTTACAAACAACAAAAATATATTTCAGATACTTGAGCAAAAACTTGCTTAGATACCACACTTCGTTGCTGTAACTGTAACCTACCCCTATGTCTTAACTGTTTACACACAATATCAGCATCAACATCATCCCAGGCACTTGGACAAATTCTTCCCCAGATACCATACTGGTTAACAGATACCCTTCCTGTTTGGTTTATATATCCTCTTGATCCATCTTCCAATTTCAAATGTGTACCTGAAAACAAAATTTGTTTACAGTACTGTTTACGAAATACAATTTGTTATCAATGATCCTTAAGTTCTTGCATTTTTTTGTTGGAAATAAGATAAAGAATTCTCTTAAAACATACTTAATTGTTAATTTCTGTGTCATTTGGTTTCTTTTGGAGAGTTGTCTCATTGGCAATCATACCACATCTTCTTATTTTTATATTAATCATACAGTGACCTCTCTTTTTCTTTACATCTAGTTATATGACAGAAGATTTATTTGAATATTACAGCTAAAATTCAAACAAAGTCAGTAAAACATGAAATATTGCTTATGAGACCTCCTGACAGCTGCAGGTTTCTTCATTAGCTAAAATTACTTTCACTATTAGTTTGTTCTACTGCAGTTAAGGATAAATTTACATGTACATTAATTTTTTTTCTTCAGAAAATAAACCTGTTTGATATTGAAACCATACTATTTTTAAATAAAAAAGTTGATATCAGATTATTTGTATAGCACTTACTGTAAAGTGGAAAAATTTTTTTCAAGGGGTTAATTTTTACTAATTCCATGCTTAAGAAAAAAAGCATAAATTTGATTTTAAAGTAAGATCAAATTCGAGACAAAACATGAAATAAACTCATCAAAACCAGGCATAAAAGTTTATACGCCAGAGGCCTCGCTGTTTGTCTACAAAAGAAAATAAACCTTACAAATGGGTTTGGCCTCTGTAATCACTTTAATTAAACCTTAAAAATATAAATGCACTTTACAGTATTTAACTATCTTACCTCTAGTCATGGTTCCATTGTAACAAGACACAGAAGCATAGGCCAAGTAATTATCTCTCTGACATCCACGGAACCTGTCGTAATTACAATTCAAGATACTGTTCTCACTTCCTGTACAATTGATGTTTGGTCTAGCATATCTGCCATAAAATGTACCAAAAGATCCCATTGGTAGCACACGCCCATTCTCAAATCCAAGCTGTAGACAAACAACCCTGGCCTCTGTGTTATTAAAACCTTCTCCACACAAGACAGACCAATACTGATCCATGATCTGAACAACCCCATGAGAGTGATCTCCCCTGGATAATCTCACTACAAAAAAAAATCTTATAATTTCAGAAATATACCTATGCTCTATGTATATATAATTACACATATTTTGTTAATTCAAAACTTATACCTTACTGTTAATAAATCTGGGTATTCATATTTTAGAATATTCCTGGAATATTTAACAAACCATTACTATTTTTCTGTGACTAACAATTTCTATAAGCATTTTAAACTGTATTGTTCTTGCTGGAGTAAGGATTTTTGTTTATGCTTTATTCATATCTATTTCTGTCTTTTTTAATGCCATATTCAATGTTAATTTCAGTAAATATTCCTAAACATGAAATAAAAGAAAATAAACAACACTTAATGATTTTGATTCTTTTTAAAGTTTGTATATATATATATATATATATATATATATATATATAAGTCTAAATTGAAAACAACGTTCAAACCTATGATTGCGTTGTATAAAAACCACAATTTTTATACATGTACATGCAAAGCAAATTTCTTGGTAGAGGGTCTAAATACAGCACAAACAACATTTTCCAAAAGACCAAAAAAGTGAAAAAGTATATTTAAACAAAACGCATTTGACTAACAGGTCGAACAATGGATCATGTGGATGTTCTTAAACTATATATATATGATATAAAATCTTAAAGCTTTAATTCAGTCCCTGAATCATACCATCTTTATGACAGATGACTGCAGCATCTTTTGTGTGATTTAAACATTCCCTTTTTGGTGTTGTCAACCATCCCTTATTTCGACATTCAAGGAGTGAATCCTCGTAACCATAACAACCCAGTCCATCCATCATCACTGGGCCTGTGCCACCACCATAATATGACTTAGATATAGGATCCCCGTCAGCAAATCCTAACTGTTTACAAACTACACGAGCATCACTGGATGACCATGAGTTATCACAAACTGTACCAATTTGGTTGTCATAATTTATCTGTACACGTCCATAATATTCCCCTCCACCAACCAACTGAACTGTTACATCTGAAAATAATTACAATTAGAAAAAACTGTGAACAGACCTTACAAATTTATACCAAAATTGTCTATATAAATACACTGTTAGGTATCTGCTTCTAAGATCTAATGTATAAACAATTTAATTTCAAATTGATTCTATTGATATAAAATTAGAATGACCAATCAAATCCATTCATCCAGTAATTTGTTTGATTGTTGGTTGCTTAACATCGAGTGGCAAATATTTCATGCATGTTCAGTAATTTGTAGACAACTGTCTTGTATTTTAATGTTAACAAGAATCATTATCAAATCTGCTGTTTGCAAATTGAGGTTTCAGACAATGTGAAAGTGACTAGTATCACCAAAAATTGATGCAAGCAAATATTTTAAAATTAGGATACAGTTATTTCTATGTAATGCAACTGTAAACTGTAGACAAACTAATTCATCTTTATTTCATATCAATGACATCAACCACAAACAGACATCTCCAATTGTCAAAGTATATTTGTTCCAACTAACAGATGTTCCCCTGGAAACTTTGTTATGAACAATGCCATCATATCTGTTCCTGTTGGAACAAATATTCTACATCCTTTACACTGTAAGGAACAAATGTTTGTTCCAGTGGAAATACTATTACAGAATATTTCTTCAACTTAGAACTTATATTATGAAGGAACTTCTATTTCATTATACAATTCTATTTGTTACTGAACTAAAGCCATGAAATGCCATCTAAATTTTCAATAAAAATAGGCAAACAACGGTGCACACTCAAGATTTTCAGAGAAAATTTCAATTTGAGGAATTGTTTTGTTTTGTGGAAGATAAAAATTGTTTTGAAGACATGAAGTTCCTTAGTGCCTTGTTTTAAAATTTGACATCATATATTAATACAATAACTGTTTGTATTTTACAATTTCATAACATGTACTAAGCCACATCAAAGATATTTGAACCAAAAAACAATATTGTTATGATAAGAGAATATCCTTGTTCCAATTCAATTATTATTCTGACAAACACCATTTGTCAATTTTAGATGTTTATTTCCAGGAAGTTGTTATTTTCTGATTCTTAGTACACATAAGATAGATATTAAACAGGACATACAAGTAAACTCCAAACAGTCATGGCAAAAGTATATCAACCATTTACATTTCTCATCGCTTCCTGTATGTGTCAATCAATAATCAAACTGATTTTTAAATAATTTGAATTTTGAAAGAAAGAAAATATTTCAAACAAAAAAATTTCAAAAAAAGACCCAGGGAAAAAATGGTTTGCAATTCATTTTTAAAATGTGACTATTGACTTATTTACAAAGTTAAATTAATTTTTTTTAATTCATATTCAAAAGCAAAGGTACATTTAAACTGTATAAAATAAACTGCTGTACCAGGAGTGTTTGATATGCCTGTCATATGCAGATAGGTATTGTTGCAAAAATAAAATGGAATATTGGAGAAGGCTTTAAATCAGAGGTCAGCGGAATTTCCCTGAGGTAAAACTAGCAGGGATATTCTGCATTGTGTAAAAATAGCCTTAAATTTGAGAGTTAAGTTCCATTTCTCTTTTAAAAATGACAAATCAACAAATTTTAAAATCTTACTTTCACTCATCCTAACAAAAAATATACAGTTTGAAGAAAATCAAAACAGTATCAGAAATTTTCAACAAAATAACAAAAATTATGAATTTTGAACCTCATTTTTCTGGAAAAGCAAGCATGGTTATATATATAATTGTTTTATTTTAGGATTTTTCAAAGACTTTATCTCCATTTAGGGCATATCTCAAAATCTAAAATGACAATTATTGTCAATACAATGAAAAACTGTATCAAACAGTGAATAACTTAGCAGTGATATTGTCATTTTTAACATTTTATGAACAAAGATTATTGCATAATCTACTAAACCTAAATCAGCACAATGGCCTATGTCCTATTGCATAAACAGAGAATACTGTAAAATTCCGAAAATATTGTGTGCATTACTTGCTGCGATTTTTGAAGAATGGACAAAAATGTGACATTAATTATTGCAATTTCAGGAAAATATGCATGTTGATATGCATGCAGAATTCAAGTTCTTATTATTGCAATACTCACCTAGTTTCATAAATCGATTAATAACCTCACAATTATTTCTGAATTAACAGTACCCAAACATAATCAAATCAATTAAATTATTATATTGCACTTACTTCTACGGTAACACAGAGCATATGCAGGTCTACATGAGTAAACTGCATCTCCCCAGCTATTCTCGTCATACACACAATTTTTCAGACTTCTCTCAATACCGCTACAGTTTAATTTTGTTATCCAGATAGGTCGCAAGGTTTCGTTTACAGTGCCATATGCTTTGCCTCCTATAAACCCTTGGTTTAGCTCCTTACATAAAACTGTGGCAGCTTTGTCATTCCATTCAGTACCAGAGGCACACACCTGACCCCAAATTCCTAATTTTTTAACACTGACCTCACCCCATACAGATGTCCCTTTTTCCAATCGAACACTAAAAGCTGAAAGAAAATTTTTGAAAATAATAGCAGTTGATTTATATAATTTTCAGAATTTGACAAGGTTTTTGTTATGGTTTTTACATCGCGATGACCTTGAGGTCATCCCGATGTATTGCTATCGCCTAGATTTCCATTATGTAAATTAGTTTTGGGTTTGTAACCGATCTATAAACATGATAAATACGCGCACATAAACGAGTGCAAAATAACATTCCTTATCGTTTGATATAAATACATCTCTTCAATGAATACTGATAAAAATATTTTTGTTTACAACATAAATTAATAATATGAAAATGTTTTGTAGTTAGATATATATATATAAGTAAAAAATCATTGATAATATCAATGCACACGTACCGAAAAATTGTGTTAAAGCATGCGGAAGAATATCTCAAAGAACGTTTTGTGAAAATACCGTCAAGGACCGGTAACTCTGTAATTGATTTTGCGGGAAAATATGAATGCCTACTCGTACCCAATCTTAGAAAAATCGAATTTTTACAGAAAAGTGTCCACCATGCACTTGCATTGCACTATTTTTAGAATAGTAGAATAGAATGATATACAAATGGATTCAAATCATATATATATGTAACTGTTATTTTAATATAATATAAACAACAACTCAGTGTATACTGATTTGTATCACTACAATATAATAGTTATTACGGTGAAGTTGAATTTCCTGTCATTTATTCATCATCCACGCACGAACTTGTCTCAGAAAAAAATATATCTCTGTACATTAACCTCAGTTTTAGGTAAAGAGATATGTTGTTTTTTTCTGAGACAAGTGCTTTTGACCATCCTCAAGAACTTGTGGTCATCCGATGTTCAGTACTTCAGTACTTTGATTTTATCTGCTGGTTAAGAAAATGATAACTGGTATAGCTTAGTACTAACATGAAGCCTGTCTTTCAAATTATCAGTATCTCACTCACAACGATATGAATATAAATCTAAACCAAAAAGTGCATGAATATATTTTGGTTACCAAAAATACATATAAGTTGTAATGTAGAAAATATTTGTTTTTGAACTTAACAAATTGTATTATAAATGAAAGAACTTTAGTGAGCAAGCTTAAATACCCCCATTCTATAATTAACATGGAATATTTTTACAAGCCCTTAACACTTTAAACATCAGTTCTATGAAAAAAGATTTGCATATAAAAGATAACTTTGAAAGCTTCTCTTGCTCATCCCATTTTTACCATTTTAAGGTAAAAAGAAATAAAATTGATGTGCAATCTATTTGACAAATTTATCACAAGAACAATTACGCAATTCTTATATTCTTGTTTTTAAGTGCAAATCTGAGGAAATTTCTTTATTATCAACATATGAAAAACTTAAAAACTTTTAACATTGACATTGACATCTATATCAATCAACTGGTAAATGACATACAATTACGTAAATATATTATAGCACATGATAATAAAATCATAAAAAAATCATTTTGTTGAGGTGACTATTTACCAATATCAAGAGTGATCTGCGAAACAAGTAAATGTATAAAAATTTGTCCAATACAAAAACCATAAAAATTAACAGCTTGTCCTGTGTCATGTTAGTAAGATCAAAAGCAAACATGCAGGATTTTAATTAGTAAGCCTAAAGCCATGTAATGTTTGAAAAAAGACAAGGTACATTTTATGAGAAGCTCAATTTTACAGTATTTGATACTGTTTTACTATTTTATATCTAAATAAAATGCTTCGCTGAGCGCAGCTTGATACAACAGTAGAGGTCAAACCCTGAACAGTTGGGGCAAGTTTGGACAAAATATTCAAGCTTGATACTGTCTGAATTTGGATTGTGATCAAATTAATTGTTGACATAATATAGGTTTCTGACACAAAATAAATGTGGTCAAAGATCTTAAAAATTTGAAATGGGACATTTAACTTACCTAGAATGGTCTGATATCCAAAATCTAACAACATGGTTAGATTCAGCATATAAAAAAACACCAATAATATAATTTTAGTTGAAATCAAACAAAGTTTAATTTTGGACCTATCAAACCTTAATATGAACTTATTTGAAAACAGGGCCCAAAATAAAAATCTAAATGCACAATAAGATTCAGCAAATCATACAGCTGCAATAATTCAGTTTAATTTTGGACCCTTTTGACCTCAATGTAGACCAATTTAAAAATGGGGCCCAATATCCAAAAAAATTATACAAGGTTAGATCCCCCAAAAATTAGACTTAATTAATCCCATCGAAATTGGTTAAAACATTTGTATTTGTTTTCAATTGAAGATTTCTTGCTATTGCACAATACTGTGCAATTGAAGATTTCTTCCTATTGTGCAATACTGTGCAATTGAAGATTTCTTGCTATTGTGCAATACTATGTTGTTGCATAATACTGTGCAATTGAAAATTTTTTGCTATTGTGCAATACTGTGCAATTGAAGATTTCTTGCTATTGGGCAATACTGTGCAGTTGAAGATTTCTTGCTATTGCGCAATACTGTGCTATTGTGCAATACTGTGCAATTGAAGATTTCTTGCTATTGCGCAATGCTGTGATATTGCACAATACTGTGCTATAGCGCAATACTGTGCAATTGAAGATTTCTTGCTTTTGCCCAATACTGTGCTATTGTACAAAGCTGTGCTATTGCGCAATACTGTGCATTTGAAGATTTCAAAAATTTGAAGATTTCAAAAATTTGAAAATTTCAAAAATTTGAAATTTCAAAAATTTTGAAGAAAAAAAATGAACCCCCAAAAAAATTGAAAAAAAGAATCCCCCCCAATCATAGCATTATACGACATAAAAAATTTTTTGCGGTCATATAAAAACTGTGGTTTTAAAAAATATTGCATAAAAATGATAACAGGAATCACCAAAAATATTTGACAGTACAACAGACCTCACCACACAACCACAATGAAAACCTGATATCTCGAGAAAGAATAAAAACCCTTAGTATTCACTATTGACACAAAAAGTTGTAGGATAAACCAAGTATTGCATGTGCACAAATGTATTTGTTTTTAAGTAGAATTATAGACAAAAGAGTAATCAAAGGTCATGAAGTTGTCATATCAAATGTTAATTTGTTGGTAAAAAGCTTAAAATGTCATTTTTTTTTATGGTTTTAGAAAAAATATGATGTGTGTCTAAAAATCTACTTCAAAAGAAGTATAAAACTTTTCATTCTATAGAGTTATACTGAAGCTAAAATAGGAAGTGAAAAATTTTCAGGAAAATGAATTATACGTATAAAATTTAGTGAAAAATTTCTGTCATTTATTTCAAAGTTTATGTATGGGATGTGATTATTATGTAATTACATATTAATACAATCAGGAACATATATATTACTGTTCCCAGATACAATGTGAACCAGGCAGTTCTCTCTTTTTGTAAAAAAATAATGAAAAAATAAAATTTCAAGACAAATCTAGATATAACTGCTTACTTGAAACATACTTTCTCAACAATGATTCCAAGTTTATGCTAAGCATGCAGTTTATAAGGACATACTAATTTTGAACTGCATGACAGTGTTGCTTAACATTATTTGTAACTTATGCAGAGTATAAGTGTTGTTTATACAGGCGTAATGGTTTCTTCCATGAGATGGGATAGTCAATTCCATTATAAGGTCAAAGGTTGTGCCTAATTTGGTCAGCCTGATTATGAGGGATTAGGTTCTCAGATTACAACTGCAGGGAGCCAGCTTCTCAGTTTAGATATAGCTGTTGAATACAAAGGATGTTTACCCAATAGGAATAAATTTTCAATTTCATTTTCAAGTTTTACTTATTTACATTTATTTTCTGTTGTGAAACTTGAGAGAAAATTTAGAAGATTTCTCTGGGAATACTATAACTTTATTTATATACTCCTGCCTGGACGATACAGGGAATTTTGTACACGGTTTTAATTACCAAATGTAATTATGACATCTTCCCAAAACGATAGTTGACTTTAGATCTTTCAATGTTCATCGTGCAATTCATTTACCTGTATTCATAATCTCAGACATATTAATTTGGTTGTTATACAATTAAAGGGAGTATATTTCATCTTACTCTGACATTTCTAGATACTTGAATTTGGAGAACTTGAATCAGTTAAATATTTAATATTTTCGTGATTTTACTGCTATAACAACGTCGGTAAATATCATAGCTTCTTCAACCAGACGTATCCAATTTTGAACTGCATGACAGTGTTGCTTTACATTATGCTAAGAATGAAATTTATAAGGACATTCGAATTTTGAACTGTATGACAGTGTTGCTTAAATGCTACAATGAAGTTTATCAGGACATTCTAATTTTGAACTGCATAACAGTGTTGATTCACATTATGCCAAGAATACATTGTATGAATCTGCTATACAGAGTAAAAGTGCGCTTTTACTAATAAATGTAATTATTACAAGATAGTCAAAAAACAAACCATTTAACTGCTGAGGAGTTGGTCTAGTTTCATAGCATATAGCTGAAGCTCTGTGTTTTGTTTCACATTTTGATCGTAGAACTGTGTGGTTACAGCTGATCAATCGATCTTCTGAGCCTATGCAAGAGAAATGTGTAAAAGCTTTGGTGGCAATAGATGAAGAAGATACTTTTCCAAGTTGAGATCGAAGCAAAGCCTTGCCCCAGGAAAAGCCCATTTCTTTACATAGAACTGTGGCATCAATATCGTCCCAGCCTGCATCACACACCTGTACCCATGCTCCTTCCGTATGAATTTCAACTGTACCAACATCTGTTCGTCCTCTTGAATTTAAGCGAACTGAAATTAAGCCATTTCGAAATTCAGAAAAAGATGAAATGTTTTTATTTATGTGAAAATAATATAGGATGATCACCCAGTTATAAAAACTTTTTTTTTTAATCAAACCAATCAAATTCCACTAAAACTGGCACAGGAATTGTATTAAAATATCTCTCATCATAGTCTCATAATTTCCTAATTGCCAGTTAATGAAGATTAATACTATCAAATAAATGCAGGTACCAAGTTTATAATTTATTGTAATTAAAGAAATGCATAAATACAAGGAGGATCATAAAGGTGTACATGCATCACTGTGCATTGAATATGAATTATATACATATACATGTATTTCATGTCTTAATCATATTTATCTTATTTTGTACATTGTGTGTTAGTTACAATATGCCATTGGGTTTTCATTTATCATATATCTCAGAAAAAAATCTCTACACCTGTTCATTTTTTTGTTTGTCCTTTTTTTTCATTTTTCAGTTGCTGTCTCATAGACAAAAGGCCCAAATCTCCTTTTATTCGTATGTTTATAAAATTTATTATTTACAGATGAACAGGAAAATTGAATTGCAATAAGCATGTGTCATTTTTTTAGAAAGGACAAACTCTCACTGGTTGTAAAATCATTTGAAGCAGTAAGGTAATTTTCAAAACTTGCTTTTTTCAAGACGTAACATTTAATTTAAACAGATCCTTGAATAACCTCATAAAAGTTTATGAATGTGTAATCAAAATACATGTACAAAATAACTTGTTTGTCATTCAATTACCAAGCTAATTGTTATAAAACAAAAATGCATACATAAATTAACGGTTTTTTTTTTTTGTGATGACGCAGACATTTCCTTATAAGAGTCATCAGGTTCAAGGATGTTTAATGCCCTTTCATTACGAATCATATGCAAAAATATATAACAGTGGAAACGCATGATAGAAGAATGATACATTTCAAGTTTTAACTCATTTTCTACTGGGATAGACCAAGATATTTGGTATATATTTCAAAATTTTGCAATAGGTTCTAATGAAACCAGCATGTGTATTTTGGTTATTTTGATGAATTAAGTGGTAATAATTATATATCAATAAGACACAGAAGCACTTAAAAAAAAAAAAAAGACATTCAAATTACTACAATCTGTATATATTTTGACCTATATTTTGGCATTGCACAAGGCCATATTTTTCACTGACTGCTAATGACTTCTTTACACTAAATCCATTGGATGTTGCATGTGTACTGATTGATATTTTAGTCTTAGATACATGATTTTTTTTATTAGTTGTCATAGGCTTTTTACTAGCTGTCAGTCACTGCGAGTACTCTCAGATCTGTACTTTCTGTCTTTTTTGTTGTTAGGGATGTATAAATACCCTGCCACGTCCTGTGTTTTTGTTTGATGTTTTTCTGCTTTGTATCGATCTGATGTGTTAAGCCCTTTTCAACTGATTTTTATAGTTTGTTCTTATGTTGTGTTGTAACAACACTGTCCCAGGTAATAGGAGGGTTGAGCGCTCACAAACATGTTTAAAACCGCCACATTTTTTATGTATTTGGGTTTTTTTTTGCTCCATGTTGAAGGCTTCACTATGACTTTGAGATGAAGAACAGCAATCTTTGCTTTTTTGTGTGTTTTTTTTTTTTTGCTGTGCATGTACTGATTTTGTGTCATAGATGGATACCCCATATCCTTTGTTTTTCCATTCGAAATGTTGGTGAACATGAGTACTGAAGAGGTGATATATATATATCTTTAACTTACACTGCAACTGTGCTAATTGAACATTCAAATTGCATTTACCAAATACATATTTGTGATATACTTCCCCTGACCATATAACACCTTGTTTGTTAATTACATCTTTCTGTAGAGTTTAATTAATGATGACAATTAAAGAATACAGGTTCACAGAATTTTTAATCGTCTGTGTCAGATGTAAAATTGTTGGTTTTTATCCAAGTTATTTCCTTTGAAAGAGTTGCAGAATGAAGAGAACAACAATACATTGTCTAAAAATGTAAAATTTATTTTTACTTTGCTCGATACAGGATAGAAATGCTCAGCAAAGCATTGCATTATACCTGTTTCTAAGCCTTGTACAAGTAAATTTTATATTTTCTGACTGTATAGTTATTCTATAAACATATAGGATATATATGACCATTATTTAATGAGAAATGGACATGTTTGCAAAACTTAAAAGCACATCCTATTTGCATGCATATAAGCAAGGTCATTTTATATGCTCAAGCATGATTGTGTCAAAGTATAATAAACTGCTTTGCCTAGAGCAGCTGGATACGACCGCAGAGGTCCAACCGTGAACAGTTGGGGCAAAAATGGACACAATATTCAAGCTTGATACAGGTCTGAATTTGGATTGTAATTGAATATTTGACACATTATAGGTTTCTGACACAGAATAAATGTGTCAAAGAACTTGAAATTGGTTGTATGATTTGAATTTATATTCAATTGAAGATTTCTTGCTGTTGTGCAATACAATGTGCTGTTGCGCAATACTTAGTAAATCTGTTTTCCAAAAAAAATAATATTTGAAGAGAATTTTCTTTTCAGGAAAAAAAATTGCCCCCCCCCCCCTAAAAAAAAAATTTTACCCCCCCCCCCCCCCCCTTTTCCAAAAAAATTAATTTTGAAGAAATTTTCTTTTTGTAAAATGTGGTACAAATTAAGAAACATCCATACACTTAAACACAAGTTATTGTCTGAAAACTAGAAAAATGCTTGTTTTAGACCTTTTTGGCCCCTAATTCCTGACCTATTTGGGCAATTACCCCCAAAATGAATCCCAACCTTCTGCTTGTGGTATTGAACCTTGTGGTACAATTTCAGAGCAATCAAAATACTTATACACAAGTTATTCTCCTGAAACTAGAAAAATGCTTGTTTTGGCCCCTAATTCCTAAATGGTTAGGACCATCACCCCCAAAAACAATCCCAACCTTTCTTTTGTGGTATTGAACCTTTTGCTTAAATTTCATAGAGATCCATACACTTAAACTAAAGTTATTGTCCGGAAACCAAATGTCTTCGGAAGACGCTGACGCCGACGACGTGATACCAATATATGACCGCAAAATTTTTTTTGATGTCGTATAAAAAGATATACAAAGCAATTCAGTTTTAAAAATGTTTCTGATTTTTTATAGAAATAATACATACTACAAATTTCCAACAAAATAATGTCAAAACTAATTATAGTCAATTTTTCAAATGAGCATACATGAATCAGAGGAGATAGAAGTCAATTATAGTTTAAAAATTTTGAGATGCGAAATTAAAAAGTCTGGTATTTACACAAGGTCTCCATCTAAAAATGTTTTGAATTATTAACAGGTGATCAAAATTTTTTGTTTTATAACATGGCCAAAATATTTTGACTAGTCATAACAGGTACATGGCCATAATTCTTTCATAACTGTCAAAACATTTTGTTTCAGTGCATTTGTTAAAAGAAACAAACTACGCAAACTAAAACATACATAATTCAAAAACAGAAAAACAGCATGTGATGTATATAATGTATTTTAAATTTTCTTGTCATAACAGTTTTCATTTAAAATATGACATATTTCATTTAAAATCTAAAAGATATGTGACAGAAATGCTAATTTTCTATAAAATACAAATAATTTCATTGATAATGTGAATGTCTTACTGAAAACTATAATCTGAATAGCAAAAAGGAAATAATGTGAATTATAAATAAAATTTTTATTACTCAATGTATCACATATCAATTCAATCATACGATTCATTCCTCCTATTCCCACTTTTTATAAATCTAGTAAGAAAAGTTAAAATTTCATGTGGGAATAGGGGGAAACTTGTGCAAACAAAGGATTATACTGTATAAACATTGTTTAATCAACTTTTAATTGGCAAGTGTTTTTTTTTTATAGGTAATAGGTTATTTTTGTATGGGTATGAATTAAGTGTTTTTAATTAAAATAAATATGAAAGAAATGGAAACAAATATAAGTAAATTATTTTTTTTTCTTTTATAACACAAATTCAACAGTAGATTCAAGCAAGCATTATAATATGAAACAAACAAACAAGTTAACAGCACTAAAACAAATCACACATTGTAGCACACACATTAGAAATTCACTGTTTATAAGTCAAATAAAGTTTAATAATCTAATCTATTCAACGTGAAGAAGGTAGGAGGCTGCATCACCAAACTGTACTGTTGTGACTTTCTGGTTGCGGTGTCTAACCTTAAGCTCTTCTAATATGTTGTTGATTTCGACATACTTTCATTTATGGGCCACTCTCTTCCCACCGGCTGCATACTGGATCATGGTCAGGGCATTGAAAGCTTCATCATGTTTCTGTAGTTTTATCAGTTTAAAGATGTTTGGATGTGGGTGCTGGACATGTTTCTTCAGCTTGCTGTGCCATCCTTCTAGATGATGTGTAGTCCTCAGTCCCTGTGTTTTGTAATGGTTCCAAAGGTGACTGTTCTGTTCGACCCAGTATGTTGTTACATAGTCTTTAAAGGGCGTGTAGTTGATGTTAGTATCAATCTGATCTATGTCGGTTAGGGCATTAAACCACACATCTTCGACCTCAGCAGTAGGTACAAGTGGAAGGACAGCGGCACAGCGTACTAGTTGATGAATGTTGTTGTCTTCCTTGTATGGAACCTGAATCCCTGTTTCTTGTGCTTTTCTACAGATGCATTGTGTGTATTGGAAAAAAACAGCCTTTTGCGTTGATGCCAGGAAATACAGAATATGCTGCATTTCAGATGGCGACTTCATAGTCCAGGAAGATAGTGGTAGGCTGAAGTTGTAGTTGGTGTTGGTGGCATACATCTTTGAGTAAAGTCATGAACCTTGTGTATATTATTTTGCTCTTGTCTGGAAGTAAACTGTGTACCAGTGGATACATTGCGCTGTCAACCATTGTGTGAAATGTGTAAAGTTGGAAGAATAGGCTCGGACAGGAGTAAAATGTACCATCACCATATATGATATCTGCAGCTGCTAGGTGCGTTATATTCTTTTGAGTACTGAAGATTAACATACGCCCAACTGTGTTGTCGTCTGTTAGCAGGAATGGGTCACCTTTGGTAGTACGTGCCCAAATACATCTATGTTGATTTCATCAACAGTTTTTGTTAAAACTGGGATGTTCTTTTTGCGTTTGTTGTACATGGAAATCTTGCAAGATGGGAAAGTTTGTTATAATATTATCTATCATCAATTTATTTGTTCGGATGACAATTTTTTAAGTTTACAAATTCAATGATTTTTTAATCTTACTTCTATTTATCTGACTTATTCTTTATTTTTAAGTAATTCTTTGAAGAAGAAAAAACATATTACAAATAAACGTGTATTAAATCATTATTATTTTTTTTTGTAAATATTATACTTAAACAGTACTAGTGTAAGAATATCTTTTCTTTTAAAAAATACAGGTAAATCTTAGGTGAATTTTTAATTAACCTTAATTGTTATAAAAACAAATTACTTATTAAAACATCTATTGTTATTTGCATGTGGGTATAGAAGGAATAGTGATTTTTAAAAAGTGGGAATAGGAGGAAGACACCAATCATACTTCCATGTGCCTATATCAAGCTCCTGTCACTCTGTAAATTTTTTATCACACTACACAGCTTATCACAGTGTTAAAGCATTGTGACATTACTGATAAGTTCTCACATCTCATGAACACTCAATAAATTGTAGGCATTTATTCAGGGCATTAGATAAAGTTACAGGGGAGGTAATGATTTCACCGAAGAAAAAAAATGTTATTTTAGTGACAACTGTAACACATAGGGAAAAGATGTATTCTCAGAGTGATTTAAATCATTAGCTTGAAAATGAGTACATGGACCCCTCTTTTTTAAAGTGGCTTTTGGCTTGATTATGAATGAAGATCATCTGTATCAATTTTATATTTTTTTTTAAATTAGATAAATATACAGCAAAAAATGCTATTTTTTTACCCCTAAAATTTCCAAAGAATTTTTACATAAATTTACTACCAGCATAATTATGTAAAGAAGATATTCCAAATATTTTTACAAAATTTTGCATGTGTTTATCTTTTAAAACAAATAAGTTAGGTATTTCTGTACAAAGGATAGAAATGTCCAAGAAACCGAAATTATGAGTAAATGTCTAAAATATCGACCCGTTTATCTCTAAAAGTAGCACATGAAGGTACATTTTTTATAACATATTTGAATTTACTAGGTGAAAAATAGCTTATGTGCAAATGTGCTCTTAAGCAGTTGATCCTTTTGGTAAGCAATGACTTTGACATTCATTGCTTATCAAGAGGACAGAGCAAACAAAAATAATTAAATAAAACCAGATTTGGTTATTCAAATTTAACCTAAAACTTGTAAATTAATTACAAAAGCTTCAATCTTTTTTTCTTAGGTTATTGCATGTTTAATTATTTTGATGAAAGAAAAGAAATGGCAGGTCCGCTCCAAAGGAGGCCATCATCCACTCTCATCATGGAAATGTGGATATGACTACATTCCACTTGATCAAATGAATGCATCTGTCATGATGGATTTGTAAACCATAGACAATACCTACTACTAAGGGGACGTTTAATGACCTTGACTACCTATGAGGGTATTACACGGTCGAAAAGACAATACCTGAGTTGTTATAACAGGAGACGCCAGCATCCTCGTAATGACGACAATTATGTACACCCCATCCATTACTCTGACACTCAAGTAAAGTTCTCTCGGATCCCGTACATTGAACATTGTCTAGATGTATAGCTCCTACGCCTTCTCCAAAAGGGGAATTAGTATGTGCCTGTAAAGTAAACATACTTTTAAGATTAACATTGTAAAATTCTCCGACATTATATACAAAACAAAACTCTGTAGGTAAATTAAAAGATTCTAACCCTTTCTTGAAAGGAGAATTAATATGTACCTGAAAAGAAAACTTTTGAAAAATGTCTTTAGTTGTGGAATTTTAATGAGTTGACAGTAATTTGTTTTTGTCTTGCATGTATCCTGTGTCTATAAGATACATTTTGCCCAAAGATTGTTTATGATATACATAGGAGAAACACCTGCTTTGCAATGTCTGCAGTGGTAATTATTAAAAAATGACTTTATAAATTTCATGAGTCCAAAGGACTTTTCTGAATTTACATTCATCAAGAACACTCAAAATTGAATATTTGAAAGCCAAGAATGTGTAAGAACTGAAACAGCTAAGACCTATATAACTAAAAAGGGCTTAAAAATAATAGCCTGATCCAACTTTGCCTGAGGGAGTGGAATCCTTAGTTTCTTAATTAAATAGAAATTTAGAAACAGACAATTTAAGAAAAGTTTGTTATAAATCATGCCAGTACAGAATTACTGACTACTGAGCTGATGATACCCTTGACTATCAGTCCACCAGCATTGGTTTCAACCCAGTGCTTTAAAAAATGAAAACAACTCTTTATAAATTTCATGCATCTGAAGCACTTTTCTATAAACCAAGTATTATTAAGGAGTTGTTACCTCTTTTTGTTGTTAAGGAAATTAACATAAATTTAATGTTTTTTTCCCCAAAATTCTTACTTTACATTTTGCAATTGAACATTCACATATTGCAATGTCAACTACATCCATTCTATAAATTGCGGAAATATGATTAAAATTGCATTACACAGAATATCAATTTACTTCAGGTGAACAGGTAAAAAAAATACAGCATTCAAATTTTGAGCTTTTAAAAACTGAAAAAAAAAAAGAAACACAGTCAAAAATCACAAGACTGACTCATATAACAAATAAGTATGAATCAGACATTCAAATTATTAATATGCAAAAGCAAGAAACGTTTAATCAGTAATTAATGCAAAAATGTCAGCATTCTGGCAAAATATAATTATTCTAATAATCTTGATACGTACTGATGTCTACTTTAGTAAACTTATGATGATGAGTTGTTGTGTCTCTTGACATTTACCCCACATCATCTTTTTTCATATGGTTTAATTTCATTTTATTCATTTATTCACAACATTAAATCTTGCATTTCCTTAGGAAATTTATAGTAACATTTGTCATGTTTATGGTGTTCTTAGATTGTGGCAACTTTTTACGGACTTAACACAAATTACTTATGGAACCTTTACTTATTTTTTTTTAGTAGATAAAAAGATTTGGTTTGAAAGTTTGGCTGTTCCTGTAGAAAACTTATTGTAAAGAAATAGCACATCCACATTTTATGGGGATGTTGTTTATCAAGCCCATAAATTAAGATACACTCAGAGTAAACTTATTGATCCAGAAAATAAACTTATTCTAAAAGGTTTCCAATTTAACACTGTAATTAGATCTTTTAACATTGTTTTTATTGGTATAAATACTGATTTTGTTATCAATAAATTAGAACCCTGATTAATATTATTGTCATACACCTTCATGGTCCTACATTCTGTCTATGCCTATATTTTGGCATTGCACAAGATCATGTTTTTCTCTGACTTTTAATGACTTCTTAACACTAAATCCATTAGATGTTGGATGTGCACTGATTGATATTTAAGTCTTAGATACATGATTTTTTTATTAGTTGTTATTCGCATTGAACTAGCTTTCAGTAACTGTGAGTACTCTCAGATCTGTACTTTGTGTCTTTATTGTTTTTGTTAAGTTGTCTTTGTGATTTGTATTGATCTTATGAGTTAATCCTTTTTCAGCTGATTTTTGTAGTTAGTTTTAATGTTCATTGTTGTGCTGTTACAGGTTAGCAGGAGGGTAGGGCACCCACACACATGTTTAACCTGCCACATTCTGTATGTGCTAGTCCCAAGTCAGGAGCCTGCAAATCAGGGGTTGTCGTTTTTTGCAGTGTATCATATTTGTTTTTATTGTTTTGTACATAAATCGGACCGTCAGTTTTCTAGTTTGAATTGTTTTACATTTGTCATTTCAGGGACTAATTTAGCTTGCCTATGCTGTATGGGTTTTGCAGGACGTACAGTGACCTATTAAGTTGCCTACTTCTACGCCATTTGGTCTCTAATGGAGTGCTGTCTCATTGTAACTATACCACATCTTCTTATTTCTATATTAACAAGCATACAAGTTGCCAACAAGCAATTAAGGTACTTATCAGGTCAACCGACTGGAAATTTACAATGTCTATAAGATGAAAAGTTGATATAAATAAATGGTTTAATAAGATAGCATGCATTAGTATTGTTAACTTGTACCAGAGTTTTTGGTTTTCTTTTATACTTCTTATACAGAGCCAAATGCTTTTTATATAGTGCATTAATGTGTCAGAGCTTGTCCATTATTGAAGACTCCACACAAGAATGGATTTTGTTCTACTTATAAAAAAAAATCAACTTAGGAAACAGAAAGGAATGCGTTGCAGTGAAACCTGAGATTAAGTCAAAAGAAATATACCCCAGTAATAAATTCTATGGCTTTTGGAAATTTTACATTTGAACAGTTACACTCCAATTGTAAACTTCATTTTTGTAACAAAAACAAGTACAGCCAAATCCAAATACATATCATATGTAGCTTTATTAAAAAAAATAAAATAATCTACAGTCTAAAGTTTAAAGTACGTTCACTTTATATGATCGATGCATTGCATTATAAACAAAGTATAGTTAATAATTTTGTGGAAATTAATCACTGCTCTAGAAAAACAAATCACACGTCAAACAGTAAACATCAATTATGCTTATTACGTAAATTATCAAGTGTTTGTCATATGACCAAAATTTGACATTGTTTCAAGGAAAAGTCCAGGAGTAGCTAAGCAATGACATAACCTCTTTGTTTGCTTCTTTGTTATTAATAAAATTGAGAATGGAAATGGGGAATGTGTCAAAGAGACAACAACCCGACCATAGAGCAGACAACAGCCGAAGGCCACCAATGGGTCTTCAGTGCAGCGAGAAACTCCTGCACCCGGAGGCGTCTTTCAGCTGGCCCCTAAACAAATATGTATACTAGTTCAGTGATAATGGACGTCATACTAAACTCCAAATTATACACAAGAAACTAAAATTAAAAATGATACAAGACTAACAAAGGCCAGAGGCTCCTGACTTGGGACAGGCGCAAAAATGCGGCGGGGTTAAACATGTTTTTTGAGATCTCAACCCTCCCCTTATACCTCAGATAATTTATCATGTTAAATATCATTTCTTTTACATATATAAACAATTATGATCTTCATAATTTTTTGCCTTCTTCTATATTACCGGGGTAAACAGAAAGAAAAAGATAAAACTGAGATAAACTTGTGCTTTAGGTTGTTGGCCAATCATCTAATTTTCCACTGGACCGTAAGGTGTCAGACCACCAATTCACCCACTTCAATTTAAAACATGTAAAAGTAGCCTTCCCTAACAAAAAATAGTGCTTTTGATATCACTGAAACTAACAAACAAATTTGCAGAAATGAAACTTTTCGTGAAAGAGAAATATATGTAGACCATTTTGAGCAGAAATTTACTTGTAAATGAGTTTGCATTAAAAGTTGTGGATTAATGCGCTCCATAGTATACCGTATAGCGGGTTATTTTCTCGGGTGTAAAATTTCGCGATTTAGGGGCAACAAAGTATACGAAAAATTTTGGCGGTTTTTATTTTGGTGGATTCTTAAATCCCAATTAAATATTTTGGTGAATACTGAAATTGTTGCAGTTAAAAAGTTGTAAAACTTGACAAAGTGTCTATTGTTATGGTTAATTGATTATTTTTTTTACCGGAATGACCTCTTATTCATTGATTAAATTCTGATACAGTTAATCATTAAAATACCGATAATTTTGTTACAGGTATTCAAACTCTTGTAAATTTTACGATTGATTAGTTACGAAATTTACCAGACCTTTGATGTACTTACTAATTAGGTTACAAAATTATCATAAGTGTTAACAACTCTTATATAGTTTGACACTAATTAATAAGGGTTATTACCTGATAAGAGTACCTTGCACTCTTATTCTAATTGACACCTATTAATAAGGGTATAGTCATTTTATAAAATACATTTATGTACAATGCTCTTTGGCATTTATCTTGTTAAAAATAACATAATTCGTTATTGACCTGCCGACAGGAAAAAACATAGATCGTTTACAAAGTCCTTTAGCCATGTTAACTTCGAAACTACCCAACGTATGCATAAATTTTAGCGGAATTTATTTTCGCGATTTTCGTTTATCCGCCAAAAAAAGCGAAAATAAACACCCAGCGAAAATAACCCGCTATACGGTATTTATTTAAAATTTCCAGAACACCAGCGGTTATTTTTAGTAGTACGTGACTTCTGAACAGTAGTATTTCACTACAAGACTTTAAACATTGGTTGAAAATTGGCGTGCAGAAAGTTGATACATGTACAATTCAGGATATACCTGGTATCTGTGAAGTTAAACTTAAAAAATGCTTAACTATTTATAAACAAATGATGATAGGTATATGTCAATGATACAGCAACACAACAACACAAACATTCAAAGAGAATCTAGAAGACAACTATCTTTAACACTAAGTCACTAGACTGGTGACTTTTCAATACGCCAAGCTCTAAACTGTCCAAAACATGTGAATAAACTAAACAGAAACTATCAATAATGTGTCATCAACTTAACAGAAGCTATCAATGATTTTTCATCAACTAAACAGAAACTATCAATGATTTGTCATCAACTAAACAGAAACTATCAATGATTTGTCATCAACTAAACAGAAACTATCAATGATTTGTCATCAACTAAACAGAAACTATCAATGATTTGTCATCAACTAAACAGAAACTAATCAATGATTTTTCATCAACTAAACAGAAACTATCAATGATTTGTTATCAAAACCAAATGTTTCCAACATTTTTTACTATAGACTGCTGATCTTTCCAGATTTCTTGACCCATTTTAGGTCATTTTTGTTTGAACTATAGGTCAATATGAAAAGAATGAATACAATTTACTTCATATTTTCTATTATTCATATCATATTCATAAAGTTGGGGAAAAAAACATGAAAAAAATGTACAAATAGACTAAAAAAAATGTAGTTTTTTTTCTCTCCTGACATCTAAAGCTTGACATATAGTATAGACACTAGTCTATTGTAGTCTATTGTTGAAGACCATCTTATTCTATTCATATTGACCAATATTGACAACATAACTAACCAAAATATAAGTAATTTTCATGTGTAAAATTATACAAGTGTTCAGTAAACAGGAAGTTGTTGAGTGATGAATCTGAAAACACATCACACGGTGTAACTTACTTATATAAACCCTGAAACCAAATTTCAGAAATCCTTGTCAAGTAGTTCCTGAGAAAAATGCTACAAAAATATTCATGGGACAGACAGACTGACGGATGGATGGATGGATGGATGGACTGACGGAAGGACAGACAGAGGTAAAACAGTATACCCCCGCTTTTTTGAAGCGGGGGTATAAAAAAGATGTTGAATGTATATACATGTATATATGCATTTTCCAAGAAATATTATCTATAGGTTTCAAATTAACATTATCCAGATTTATGTGCATACACTTAGTGTGTTGGTCTGTTACGGCAAATGATCTATCAATAAAGTAAAATACAGGTAATATTTATAGGTAGTGTCAATTTTAAGCTTGGATATAGGGATAATAGTTCACTGCAGAAATAAAAGGGATTTCATAGAAAATATAGGACCACTCAAACAAAGGGCTGTGTAGATGTTTAAGGTGGCAAGGATTTGGTGAATAATAGACCCAGTACAATTCAATGTATAGTTAGGCTAGACCACACATATTTGTTGGATGAATATGAATAAACGTGAAATTTCTACCAGATAATTACAATCAACTAAAAACATATAAATTCAGGGTCTTGACAAAATTTGACTCTAAATTACAACATAAAGGCTTTGGAAAAATTTTGGAATGTCTGGCAGTTGTACCTAATGTCTTTCAGACACTGGGCAACATTCAATAAACAATGATTAAGTTCTAGTAAAGGCTCTTCTTCTTTATTAAACAAAATTCTCTTCACCAAAGACCAAATGACATAGATTTTAGCAACTTTAGGTCAAAATATGGCCTTCAACAATGAGCAAAACCCATGCTGCATTATTAAGCAAGCTATAAAAGGCCCGATAATGACAAATGTTAAACTATTCAAAATAGATAACTAACAGCCTAATTTATGTGCAAAACAATAAACGATAAAAACACATATGTTTACTTGTGTCCAGACATTTAAGGTGATACTAAGTTACACCTCAAGGGTATAAAATGGTCTATACATATATGTACATGTAATTTTATTTACCATTAAGTGTAGAAAATTGTACAAAATGTTCTAACATCAGACATATATATTGTACATAAAAAGTACTTTCAATAAATCTTATATATATGCATTTACACTATAATCCTATGAATGTTATTATACCTAAGTATGTCTCATGAGGAAAAACTTTGATGACCTCTTAGTTTTTATGATGTCATGATAATGTGACCACAACACAATGTGTGAGACTAAAACGTGCTTAAACCTCGTAATATAGAAAAACAGTTGGTATTACTGAGGTCAAATTTCTTTGTCAAATTTCTTGTTAGCTTTGAGTCTAAAGGTACTACTTCCATAAAATCTTGACTTGGAAATTAAATTTTTCTGAGAGTTCATCCTGAATTATTAATGATTTTTATGAAGTCTGGAAAGATAGGGTTTTCGTATAATATAATTCATAATTGAAAAAAAAAAACAATTTTTCTAGTTCTGATAATTTTGTACATCGATCTAAGAGTGATTTTTTTCTTAGTCAGAATGCCGTATGTCAATACATGTACAACATTATACTTACAATCCCCCACTGGTAATGAAGCATTCGGCAGACCACTTGGGCTTCAGCTTCAGACCACAAATCATCACAAATGGTCCCCCATTCTTCTGTGCCATTCTGTGCTATTTCTACTCTTCCTGTTGATGTACCATCCCCTCCAACTAGACGGACTCTTAGTCCTAAAAATAAATAGAAATCAATAAATTGTAGAGAAACTGTTAACAGATATGTTATCTCATACACATGTAACACTTATTTCAGTGCAATATTTCTTAAATTTTTTTGCAACTCTTTTTGTTTATTTTTTTTGTATATAAATCAGTTGAAACAGATGAAATTTGTAACCTTACACATGAATTATTTGGCATTTGCATACTTTATAATATAAATAATGCCTTAAAAGATATCTTTACTTTTAGAAATCTGGCTAAAAGCAATACAATGTACCACAATAAGCTTAAGGGTTTTCTTTCTATTATCACCTAAAATATATCATTAAGCATGTCAAGTAGCAAAGGAAAGATTCCACTTTTTCACCTGCAGGGTTTGACTCTCGCAGTAAACAGTTAGCTTTTAGAAAGGACTACAAAACTTATCAATCCCCAAAACCAGAGGCCTGACATGCCTGATAGGCCTTGGAATCCCATCATTTTTTAATACCAGAGAACAAGTTTTCTGAATTTAACAGGGATAAAATACCGGTATTTTGCATACTTCATAAAAAGTGAAAACTTCAGAAATCATCATTCAAGTGGCTATCCCCCAAGGCAATCATTGTATGAAATAAAGAAATAGTAAAAGATAAATCCAATAAACATGTATTTCATCATGTTCATCTTTCAACTTCCAAACAAAAATATGAATGGAGGACTTGTAAAGATAAACATACCTTATTTTCATCTATTTTCTCTATTTTAGAGAATATATGATACAAAATAAGTCATTTGTGAAGGATGACTGACCAATAATTAGAATTTGTTAACATGTACAAAGTACTCACCATTCATACTTTTAAAAACTATGTTTCTTATGCCAAAGTTGTTAAAAATCTATGTGAAAATGATAATTATTAGAAAGATTATGCAGTTAATCTTCATGTAAATATAAATTAACCATATCAAACAAAACTTGCGACAGTGATTTTTTCTAATAGCTACCGACTGCCAGTGCACTTTCTTACTGAGAAAATAATTTCAGAAATTATAGAGATCGTCCTATTACTTGCACTAGAAACCCAAAGTAACTTCAGTTTGAAAAGTCAATAAATGACTTTGAAAAGTCATTAAATGACAACATCAATAGGATGTAATCTCAAATTTATAAAACATGCACCTGTATTTTGCAGGAAAGTATGAGTCTTAATATCCAATATGTTCTTAATGTACATTTATTTTTTGAGATTTAAACTTATGATTGTTAATACCATGTACAATGTCTTTGTTGAACAAGGCTAAAAAAAATTGAATAATTTTACATCTGACATGATAAAGCTTAAACTGTGCAACAGTTTGAATCGAGACAAAATTTGGGAAAAATTGGATACCTTTCAAATGACAAGTCATTCAACAAACCTGAGGTAAATTTCAGACCCAATTTTGGAAAATTATACAGTTACAATAGTTTTCGCAAAAACAAACAAACAAAATCCATGTGCAATATTAAATCCAGTGTTCTTGAAGGCAACAAGTCTGGCAGTCAAAACAAGTAAAACACTTGTCTGACAAGCATAATAAACAAGAGATAATTACTAGACTCATTGTATGATGAAATTTTTTGGGAATTTTTAGTCATATATTAAATCACCAATTTTCCAGTAATATGAAGCTTCATGGACCAGATAATAATCGTTCAATAGACCAAATATTCAGTAACCAGCCAGCATCTCTACCATGCTTTACAAACTGAATAATTAACAGTCAGAGCTCAGACATAAATAAGTGTTAGTTTTGTTTCTGAATTACAGAAGTCAAATTATGTATTATGATAAATATTTGATGACATTTTGGACTTGTCTTAGTTAGAAAATGACAGACTTGTTTATGTCAATTTAATCTATTTTTCATTAAAACCGGATGGAAATATTTGACTTTGTGGTCAAAGTACATCACATATATATATATACATTAATAAAAAAATTCTGAGAAGTTACAAGGATCTCATCATCAAAAACACGTTTGATTACAAAAATTATCACAGATTTCAAGATAACGATGTTTCATAATGAGTTCATTACAGTTTTCGTCATTCAGTTAATTACGTTTTTGTCATGATACTACGGTAAACGTTGCAAATTGTGATCGTATGATAAATTGATTAAAATTGAAATGCCGACTGACCGATTCTATTTTCAAATTAATTAATTTTGAGGATCATTATGACCCATCGGATTGATTAAATGTACGAAATCGAACCAGGAACCAATCAAAAACTTTATCTGTAGACCATTTTTGGAAAACAATACATACCACCGTAACGTACGTTTTTAACAATAAATAGTTACTAGTCCTTACTATGGCAGAGTAAGTTTGAATTTTTCAGTATAAATGAACAAGTTGTTCATATTTACTTGTGAAGCGACAACTTCTGTATTCAGAATTCAGTTATTAGTAAAAGAAAGGCGAAAGATACCAAAGTGATATTCAAACTCATCATTCAAGTCTGGGACTATTATACTAAGTATAATAGTCCCAGTTCAAGTCGAACACAAACTGCCAATGCAATGGTAAAAAAAAAACGAAAAACGAAAAACTCCTGAAAATTCATACATACTACTTTATGAATGGCAATTATAAGTTTTGATAGCATAAATAGAAGCATTTGTTCTATGATTTTAATTAATATAGATTAAGGAGATGAATTACAGTATAAGGTTTGACGCAATACCATGATTTGCATAGGAACCATACAAATTTGATTCACAACACCACGAAACGTTATTAATTTATAATACAAACTCGTAGTTTCTGAATCGTTGCTAATCACCTATATCAATACTTGAGAGAGAGAGAGAGAGAGAGAGAGAGAGAGAGAGAGAGAGAGAGAGAGAGAGAGAGATAATTGCACTATATCAATACTTGAGAGAGAGAGAGAGAGAGAGAGAGAGAGAGAGAGAGAGAGAGAGAGAGAGAGAGAGCATAGCCAGAAATTAGTAGTACTTTTGCTAATTAATATTCATAATATGTAAATGAGAATTGTACCACGTGATGATAGTTTGAAGTGGACTGGCTTGATATCATTAAAATCTTTAAAACACGGATATTATAAGTTGCCCGTCACAGAGTCCTTGTTTATAATCACTCTGATATTTCCGTGAAGTTGTCAGGCGGTCAAAATCAAAACAATGAACGCGAATTTAGTGAATTTTTCGTGTTTTCGTGAGTTTATTCTTCTTGAAATAGAGGCATTTTAACTTTACGTGGGAACCTAGAGTTCAACGACTACACATACAAGGTTTGGACTTGCTTATTCTTTGGACATTCAAGTTTCAAGTTTCACCCCGGCAACCTGTATTTCTAATGACCATGTTAGCCAATTTTCAACACGAAGTTTGCAAATTCGACGTTTCAGCCATTTTAGCCTGTATTTTATACTGCAATGTTAAAAGCCTCTCGCTTCGATTTTTAAAACAGCTCAGGAACCTTGATTATTGCAACGACAGTCATTATATGTCTCTGATTTCGTTTAAATGGTGTATATTGTTGTGTATATTTATTTTCTGCCCCGGCAACCTGTCTATCACTTAAATCAAAGTTAAAACAGACATTTTTTCAAAATTCCCTATCATTTCAATATAATTTCCGTGACCCGTATCCGATTTCTTTAGTATAATATTCAAATAAGCAAAGTGGCGTTGATTTCTGGATATGGAGAGAGAGAGAGAGAGAGAGATACACAATTTTAATTGTACGTTACAGAAACAGCCGATATTTATTCGTTTAACGGATCCTTTTTTTTTTAATATAAATTTCGTATTTCTTGGAGTTTGTTTAGTGTAAAAAGAAAGTACAATTATTTTAGGACTCCTATGTCTCAACTTTGTGTGCAGATATTTTTTGTAAATTTGTAAATTAAAGAGAGCGACCGCTTTTCATTTCTTTCATTTAAAAAGCCGTGCAAATGTGGACTGATCCTATATATATATGGTGTAGTTCTTACTAGATTGATTTTTCTCTGCCCAAACTGAATGACTGAGATATAAGTTCAACGAAGAGGACAAAATATACAAACAAAAATAATTACTCAATGCACTTAGGGAAGAATGGCATGCGAGTTAAATGACCTTTGTGTCTCTGTCTCTTTGTTAATTACTTTTTCAACTAATTATATGATATGATAATTTTTGGTAAAATTATTAATTTCATATATTAGCTAGTAACCTATGCCATAACAGAGACATATATACACATGTGTATATATGTCTCTGGCCATAATATGTTTCTTCCCAGGTTTGACAAAAATGTGTTTCTATGTCAAAATATGAAGATGAAATTGTCATGTGGCCTAAGATAAATTACAATCCGTGAACTCAAGGTCGATATAATTTTCGTAGCCTCTTTTGAGATAATGCTTGTGTTTGCACAAAATGCTTGGGACTGTATTAACATTCTTTGCTGATAAATGATGATAAAATCTGCTACAGTTCGTTTTCAGCGTTATTTATATATGTCATCGAGATGTTTTTTTAATATTTGCAAAGTGTTAAAAAAAAGAAGAGGCGGAAGATATAAAAGGACAATCAAAATTCATAAGTGTTAAAGGGAAACTGACTAAACCGTGGAAAAAAGCGAACAACTACAAAAAGACAAACAACTAGAGTTACTAACCAACAATAACTTTAAGATTCTAATCTGAAATGGGTTTATCCGTGTTCAGGGAGAACCACGCTCTTTGCACGTTAAAGATCCTTCTCAACAAGCTCTTTTTGAGTGGTCCATAAGTGACCGCATTTTTTTGTTTGGCAAAATTATTTCATACTGGTTTTGGCTCTGATATATTTTTCTGTGGTTTATAATTTAACTATTTGGTTATTTGGTTTTCATGGTCTAACTTTTTTCAAAAATCTGTTAGTATTCATACTTTGATGAGTTGAGCCTTTTTTCAATTAATGTTTTATAGTGTGTCCTTTTATGTCGTATTGTTACACCACTGTCTCATGTTAGGGTGAAGTTTGGCGCCAGATAAAACGTTCAAACCCGCTACATCGGTTTACATCTGTCCTAAGTCAGGAACCTGATGTTCAGTGGTTGTCGTTTGTTGATGAGGTTCATAAGTGTTTCTCGTTTCTCGTTTCTCGTTTTTTATATAGATTAGACATGGGGTTTTACACTAGTCATTTCTGGTCCCTTTATAGCTTGCTGTTCGGTGTGAGCCAAGGCTCCATGTTGAAGGCCGTACTTTGACCTATAATGGTTTACTTTTACATATTGTGACTTGGATGGAGAGTTGTCCTTTTGGCACTCATACCACATCTTCTTATATCTACTTATAACAGTGTTCGAATATTTCTATTCAGTATGACCAAGAAACGAAAAAACATGAGCTTTTGATACTTGTCATATCTAAAACAAATTCAAGTACATTTGCATTTTTTTTAATCATTTTCAGTCTTACCCATGCAGTAAACGTTTATACGTTTTTAAACAGAAAGACTTTTGTGTTTCTGTCTCTTTATTATTACGGTTAAATATCGTGTATATCTGATCATCCACTATTTGGTCAAATTAACGTGGTTTAACCCAAAGTGTGTGTACGAAGTTAAGACTTTGCCAGTTGACTGTCGATTTTTAAAATCAGTATCGTTTGAAGATATTTTCCTTAATGAATCAGCCAATATATATGAGGTTTTGGAAGAGGAAGGGGGGATTTTTAGCTTATTATTTTCTATTCTTTACTTCGTCCTCGGTCAATATAATCCGAACAGGTCCATATATAACGTATTGAGCTTTTTTTCAATTAATGTTTTATAGTGTGTCCTTTTATGTCAAACGTCCATGATTGATAAATATCTTATTCATAAATTAGAGAATTTGACGTCACAAACCACGGTGCTTCTTCTTATTCTTTTGTACGTGTTATATTGTCCCCATATGACTAACAAATAGCATTTTAAAATGTTACTTTCATTAGCTGATGTATATCACAAAGTTTACATCTTATCAAGTTAAGATTTGCACTTTTAAGTTTTACTTAATGTCCGGTTTTATCGACTGCGTATGACAATTTTCAAATAGTTTTAATGCATTCATATTTAAAAAAGAAGGAGGTGTGTAATAAATGTCAATGATAGCAACCCTACAATACAATAAATTTATAATGTATATTTCTGAACAGAACTATATATATATATATGTAGTAGGGTTTGTTATATGTGGTTTTTTTTAAAAACAAAACAAGGTCTTTTAGCTTGCTAATGATTGATGAAATCGGATGGTATTACCTGCTGATTCAGGCAAATGATATGAGATATAAAAATTAGGGATTTTCTATGTTTGTTGTACATAGGGGGTCTCTATACGTTCGCTCACTCACTTGTATGTTCACCATTACAACGATCGCAATGACAATATTTTCAAGAAACGAACGAGGACGTTTAAAAAAAATTAAAAAAATGGCGTTTACACATCTTCTCACCCTCGCAAAAAAATTTATCTCCGAGCTTTGAATATACTATCGTAAAGATGTTATAAATATAAATTTCCACACGACCTTTACACCTTTAGGACCTAGGCTTGGGGAGGGGACACTATTTTTCTGTTATATTCTTTCTGTTTAAATTTTTTAGTAAACTAGATTCCTTAATATTTTGTTTTCACTTGCTCTTAACACTTACAGTAGTATATATATGTGACGCCCATCTCTCTTATTTCCCACGGAGGGGCATCATATACAAACTACGGTGGTTAATAGCAAGAACACATTAAATAAGTGGAAATATTAAGAAATGTTTACTGAAAAAAATTTAATCTGCAGAGAAGTGGGTTCCATTCACATACACCTATGAAGTTTGGAAATAGGATAGGAATAGCTGTCGTCTGTTCAAAGGCAAACCAGTATTGCATATTTTCTTTGTCTATTGGTTGTATTTTGTTTGTTGTCTTATCGTGAATGAAACTTTGTCTCAGTTTCACATGTTGACAGGGGAACACCCTGCTCGATACACAATTTATCAATTATAATTGATAGAAATCTTATGTAAGACTTGCATTCCAACAAGGACAACTCTAGTCTTCCCCGACAACCAAAAAGACGGGAAAAACATCGTTTATCTTTTAGACAAATAATATCATTCTGTAATTATCATAAATCAATACTTATCAGCTGATTATATTTTGATTTATATATAATTAGCTGTTAGCTAGAAATAAATATACATATCCTACACAACAAAAGTAAAAGATATGTTGGCCCAACTTAAGCCTAAGGGCGTAAGAAGAGTTGTGACAGTGAAGTTATTTCTTTTTAATGTCAACTATCAATCAAAAAGGGGCCAGTTTAGGTACAAGTTAAGCATGTTTCTTCGAATAACTATAAGATGATCATATCTGATATGTGTAATTATGCTGGAAAAATAATAATAATGTGAAACGGTCTATTAAAACGATATAAAACAATGTTTCAATACTAATAGTATATAAATACGTATTATCTTCCAAATGCGTTGTAGCTAGATAAAAATGAGATAGTATAAAATAATGAATATATTATAAAATTTCGTATGTGAAACCGTTGCATAAGGATACGTATACCTGGGTTGTTTACAAAATGAAATATTTAAATTTGATCATAGTTTAAGCCGAAAGGAACTGCTGGTTATTTTTTTATTTTTTTATTATTATTACAATACGCTAACTTAATAATAGTATAATTGGTTAGACACTTATCACTTCTCTGTTTATAACACTGACACCTTAAAACGAAGCCCTTTTATATAGAAATCATCAATGTGGATTTTTTATAATTACAAAATTAAAAAAGGACGATACATTATAGCAATGTGATAATGCAGTCCTGCAAAACCTTTTTAACAATTCTGGAGAAAACATTTCTTGAGAAACGCGTTCATCATAAGGGCAAAAAGTAAAATCACAAAAATACCGAACTCCGAGGAAAATTCAAAACGGAAAACCTTACCATACCATGAACCCCTGCAAACTTGAAATCCTTGGCCTATGTAATAAGCGAAATTTATGATGATCACTAGTCGATTATTTTGGTTGGAAAAAAATGATTAGCATATATACTGAGACATGTTTACGAGTCCTTGGAATTATATTAAGAGATCGTTTTACTAGCATTTAACCTTATTAAATTAAATGTATACAAACACACACAAACACACAAATATACATACACACTGGGTTCTATATGTGGTACAATCAGCTTTGTTTACTGAGACACATGGAAGAAAATATAAAGTTTGTATTGCATTCTATTACAAGAAGTTTTTATTTTAAAATAATATAATTCATACCTGATGTATTTTGTTGTTTCCCAGTTTCACTGGTTGAGACTGTTTTTATAACAAATACGCTCAAAATGTAAATCCAAATTGAAAATTGTGAAGTCATTTCTTTAGTATTCAAAAACAACAAAAAGTTGTATAAGAAACTGTAACTAGAACAGAACACCCACTTTTGTTCAAATTAGATATTCTAATTATTCCAAATTAAGATAACGTCGCTCATATATATTAAAGACGTAATACGTATAATAATAATATTCTAATATCCTGATTCGGAGATCGAAGAGTTTATGAAATTCTGCTTTGTATCAATTCCCATCATGATATTATTTGAATTAAGCGTTCTCAAATCCTGCAGATCAACAATGAAAGATTACAATTAAACAAATGACAGGATAAGACACACACAAAAAACAATAAATCACTCTTTCAATTTTTTTCCTCTGGCGTAAGATCCTGTATGCGGTGCAGTTTGGGGACAAATTGTTCTCTTAAATGCCTTTAGTAACGTCAACCGTTTATATATTTTTATATGACAAATATGTCATATATAACAAAAACAATAAGTAAAACACAGGTAATAATTTAGCAAGAATATTAAACAATAAACGCGTTAGTCGTACATATTACCTGTTCTTTATGTAAAACCTGTTATACGCTTGAATTCGAGAAACATTACCAGACGCGCGGATCGTCAAAAGTTAATAGACAAAAGAAGTACGAATTAAGTTAAAGAGCATTATAGGTTCAAAATTCAGTAAGGTTTTGCCAAATACTGCTAAGGTAATCTATCCCTGAGATAGAAAATATTTAGTATTTCAAATATCTCCACACCATTCCCTTCGTCGTGTCAACAGAACTTTTAATACTAAAACTATTTTTGATCCCATGGTCTTGCCTTTTCTGATTCTCACGACTCATAGAACATCATTTCAAACCACAAAGTTTAGAGAAGGTCTAACACTTGGCTTGTATAGTCAACTTATTTCGTGCATTTTATATGCTGAAACACGAAATCGTCATAACTGAATCCATAGTTCGCTATCTCCCAGATAGTGATTGTAATCATTCTGCGTTAATCGATAATTACAATCATTCTACGTTAATCGATAATTACAATCACTCTGCGTCAACTGATTCACGGTCCGTTAATCGCATTTTGATGTTCTGAAGTATCGCCGATATATAAATCGAATAAAAATAGTAAAATTACATAACAACACAACATAGAAAACTAATTATAAAGACTGAGCAACACGAACCCCGCCAAAAGCTGTAGGGGATCTCAGGTGCTCTGGAAGGGTTTGCAGATCCTGCTCAACTTGTGAATTACTTTGTCATTTTCTTTTTTGTGGTTATCATAAGTAACCTGGCTATCGTTCATAACGGTAAAACGGTGTACCTACAGTAAATTTAAACCCGAATTGGCATGGAAATATACTAAGTCTTTGTAACTTCTTGAAATATGATTTCGTATACAAACGACCACATTGCGTAGAAGTAAGCAATTATAGGTCAACGTGCGGCCTGCAACAATGAGTCATCTGCATACCGCATAGCATGCTATAAATGACCCGAAATGACAAAAATAATTCAAACGAGAAAAACTAATGGCCCGATTCATGTACAAAGCAATAAACACAAAACAAATATGATATATACAGCAACAAACAACAACCTCTTAATCGACTTTGGACAGTGGTGCAACAGAACATCACAAGAACATACTGTACAATACAATAAACGAAGAGCTAACAAGGTACACAGCAACAAACGACTATCACTCAATTACAGCCTCTTCACTTAGGACACGCACATATAGAATATGGCGGGTTAAAATATGTTTGCCCCCCCCCCCCCCCCCCCCCCCCCGTTGCAGTAATATATACACTTAACTTTATTGAAAAAAAGCACTTGATGACCACATGGGCGAATGGCTTATAACAAAAATGAACAAACAACCGGAAAAATAAATATATACCGGTATCATTCAATGGAATATAACTGGGATTCACTAGTAATTATGATTAATACAGATGTACTGCTTACTTGAGTATAGAGAAAGTCGCGGATGAATAAATTCATAAATTCAACTTAATCTGTAGAATTAAGATTTTATTACAGGATCTCAATATGCACAAAACATTGTTATCAAGTAATGATACATATCAGCACCGGGACCCAATGTTTAAATCCCCATATTCCATCCATTTGAACTTGTATATGACTTTAAAATTATTTGATTTGTTACTTGCTTACTCAATATATAAAAGTGTATCGTTTGGTACAGAGCAATTCGTTAAAAAATAATCATTAGAATGTACCCTTTCGATATCAGTGCACACTTCACAAAGTCACTAAAACAACTTTCACAATATATATTCCACGTCAAAAGCTAAAACACAATTGTGAGTATTGAAATATAATGTTCTAAAACCTGAGTGCTGCCATTGGCCAATGACATCAAAGCTTGGTTTTGCCTACGTATAATACAGAATGCGGTCGACTCCAATCTTAGTTGACTAGGATTGTCAGTTTTCTACCTAAGGTAGGTGGTTCTCTCCGTGCACTCCGGCTCCTCCAATGAAAACTGACTGCCACAAAATAGCACAATAGTGCTGAAAGTGGCATTAAACACCAACCAATCAATCAATCAACCATTCAATCTGGTAAATCTCATTTCCATGGAGATTATATGGCACTGCCCCACAGTCATGGTCTATTGACTTTGAAACTTTTGCTTAGTTTACATGTATTAGTTTGTGATTAGGTTAGTTTAAGGGTTACTAAAACCACTAGTGGTAGTCAATGACATTGTTTATAAAATTAAAAGTTCAATGATATTGTTCAGGCTAAAGGAAGAATTATAGTGATGCCAGGTATGGATTTAAAACTTAGAAATTATCTAAAAATTGTTTACATTCCTTAAGATGATGATGGTAATTTAAGCTCATTAGATTGGAACAAGATGTTATTATATAATCAACTTATAAGGAACTTTATTTAAAAATAAGGAGACTTTTATTTGATATGATTGCCAATGAGACAACTATCCACCAAAAATCAAATGAAGTGGATGTAAGCAATTATAGGCAACTGTATGTCCTTCAACAAAAACTCATACCGTATAGTAGGCTATAAAAGGCCCCAACATGAAAAATGTGAAAAAAACTAACAGCCTAATTTATAACAAAACAATTTACAGAAAACAAATGTGACAGACATGAACTATTTTTGACAACCACTGAGCTTCTGGTTCCTAACTTGAGACCTAATAAAGAATGTGATGGGGTTAAACATATTTGTGAGTGCTCAACCCCCTTTCCAATCTCCTAACCTGGGACATTGGTGTTACAGCACAGAATAAGAACAAACTATAAAAATCAGTTGCAATTTTTGTGTACATGTCCAACTGGCAGGTGTCATCTGTCATTGACCTCATTTTCATGGTTCAGTGGTTAAAGTTAAAATTGTATTTTGGTCTTTTTTTAATACTATATGCAATAGGTCAACTATATTTGGTGTATGGAAATATTTTACAATGTGCATGTCAGTCTGGCAGGTTTTATTTGACCTTGATCTCATTTTCACGGTTCATTGCTCAGTGTTTAGTTTTTGTGTTTTGGTCTGTTTTTCTTAAACTATAACCAATAGGTCAACTATATTTGTTGTATGGAATGATTGTAAGGTATATATGTCTGTCTGGCAGGTATCATCTGACCTTGACCTCATTTTCATGGTTCATTGGTCAATGTTAAGTTTTCATGGTTAAGATTGTTTCTTAGATACTATAAGCAATAGGTCAACTATATTTAGTACATAGGTTGATTGTAAGGTGTACATGTCTGTCTGGCATGGTTCATCTGACCTTGACCTTATTTTCATGGTTCATTGGTCAATGTTTAGTTTTCCTGTTTAAGTCTGTTTCTTAGAAACTATAAGCAATAGGTCAACTATATTTGGTGTATTGAATGATTGTATGTGTACATGTATTTCCAGTTTGGTCTATCTGACCTTGACCTCATTTTCTCGGATCATGTTAAGTTTATGTGATACTTTTAGTAAAGCTTTATATTTAGGACTATCAACATAAAATCAATGGTCAGTAAAGAAGGCCAGACATTTCAGTGTGTGCACTCTTGTTTTGTCTTATGAATTCTTCACTTATTATAAGCAATATGATAACTATACTTGGTATATGGGTTCCTTGCAATGTCTACATGACCTTGACCTCATTATATGGATCAGTGATCAAGGTTAAAATTACAAGATTAGGTCAGTTTCTCAGATACTATAAGTAGTAGGTCAAATATATGTGGTGTATCGAATGATTGTAAGGTGTACATGTTTGTCTGGTACATATCTGACCGTGACCTCGATTTTTATGGTTCATTGGTCAATGTTTAGTCTTTGTGTAAAAAATGACTTAATTTAATATTGCTTAAATCACTTACTTTCAAATATTATAAGCAGTAGATCAACTATACTTCTCGTATGGAATAATTGTAAAATGTCTTACAACATTAAATATATGGTCAATAAAACAGGTGAGACATTTCAGCGTGTGCACTCTTGTTTAATACACCAATAACTTTGTCAAACCTTTATTGGATTTTTATGAAAAATTTGGACAGAAGTTTTCGTTATGATCAAAAGATAGAATCCAGAGCAAAATTTAGAAAACATTTTTTTTCTTTTTTTCCGTATTTTACTGATAAATTGCTTTTTTAAAGTTAACATTTAGATGCAGTCTAAGATTAAAATTGAGGTTCTATTTTCAGTTAACATTTAGATTCAGTCTAAGGTTAAGATTGAGTTTTTGCGTAAACCCCTGAGGGTTTACGCAGTATATATTGGACGATGTCCGTAGTCTTTCGGAACACCGGATGTTATTCGAAATACATCTGTTCTTTCTATGACCACCTTTCATATACATGCGCAATAGCTTATTAATTGACCTGTTGAATAAGCATTAGCATCTTAAAGTTGCTATAGAGATATGTTACATATGATGCGAAATTTATTATGATGCAAGCTACTTTAATAAGCATTTGAATACTTCCTTGCACGCAATTACAAGCTGCTAATATTTACCTGCATATATGCGTACTTATTTTAATTAGAGTCGAACGTTGAAACCAGCTGTGTTTAGATATGAGATAAGATTTCATGTAAACAATGCGATTTATATTCGAAACGAGAATCGTTATAACAAAAATCTATAAAATGAAAGTACATTGCAAATTGAAATACAGTTATTTTCTTTGTTTAAATATTGCAACATTATTTCCTTTTTAAAAAACAAGGAGGTCATATAACCTCCTTGCATGATTAAAATAACATATCAGATTGTTATAGGTATATCTGGATCCTTTTACGTTATTAGAATGTGAATAAATAGATATTGAATATGAAAAAAAAAATAAAACTGAAATCTAAATCTAAAATATATTTAAAAAAAATACATTTGACCATGCAGATGAAAGAAATAATACT